AAAAAAAAAAAAAAAGGGGGTGGGGGGAGGAATGGGGAGGACAGGAATTAACAGGAAGAAACTCGGGCGAGAGGGCTGGTTGAGAAAATGTTGACGCAGTGATGGCGTGGGGTCCAGTGGTGAGGGTGGAGGCGGAAGGCTGGGGGTGTTGAGGACCCGAGGGTTGGGTGGAAACAGGAAGGATGCACTGGGGACAACGCTCGGACGCAGAAGGATGGGCGCGGAGGCCCCGGGGGCCGCTAAGAAGAACGCTGCGCTAGCGGCAGGCTCGCGGAGGCTGGAGTGGCGGTGTCTGCGCGGCAGGTGCGGGGGCGGGGCCACGAGGGCGGGGCCGACGCCGTGCCGGCGGGCGGGGTGAGCCGTTTGGCTCCCGCAAGAGCCTCGGGGGCCGCGGAGCTGGAGCTGGATCCCGAGCCGGGGCCGGGGCCGGGCCCGAGCGGGCTCCGTCGTTATGGGGTCGGCCGACTCTAAGCTGAACTTCCGAAAGGCGGTGATCCAGCTCACCACCAAGACGCAGGTGCGCGTGGGGCCCTGGCCTCCTCACCCACCTGCCGGGCTAGGGCCTGGGCAGGGCCGGGCTGGTTGGGGAGGGGGCTGGGGCTGAGCGAACTGGGCTTGCCAGGAGATGGGGGACCGGTTGTCCCTGAGGGCGACACTGAGGTCAGGGCCAGAGCGGGATCCCTGGGCCTAGCCTCCCACCCCCAGCCTCCCACCCCCAGCCTCCTATCCCCAGCCTCCTCTCCTGGGAACATCCCTCTTCCTGCAGCCGCAGCTGCCACCTTAGGCTGACGTGTGTCTACTCGTAAAGCCGGAGTCACCGCTGCCAGCGGCCTGTCCCGCCACCCGTACCCCCATCCCCGCCCCCAGCTTCGCATCTCCAGCCTCCCCATCCCCACCTACTAATCCACCTCCCAGTCCCCTCCCTGCCCCTCGGTACCCGCGGGTCCCGGAAGCACAGACCCGGCTGACTCAATGCAAACAAAGCCGGGCCTGGTTGGGGAAACAGCTGGTGCTCGGTGGCAGCAGCCTGGTGGGCCCAGGTCAAAGCCCAGGACCAGGGAATGCCAATGTCTTCCTGGGAACATGCACAGAGTAGGGGGCAGTGCTGCATCTGGCAAGGGGACCCTGGGCCCATGACCATGGAGTCCAGTTTCCTAGCTGCGGACCACTGTTTCAGGGGCCTCCTGGTCTGAGGCCCAGCGGTGGGGCAGTGTTTGGGTACCCTCTGTTCTCTGGGTCAGGACTGAGACCCTACAGGTTGCCCTTAACTGGATGGTGTGGGACCTGGAGGTCTTTCAGCCTAGCCCATGCTTGCACATTCCTGAGTCCACAAGTGGCCTGGAAGCCACCTCCTTTCCCTTACACACAGGACCTGGCCAAAGCAAGGCTACTTCCCTGCCCACCCCTTCCCTCTTAACCCCTTGAACCAGGCTGCTCTGGCCACAGAGATGCCCAGATCTGACTCCCCACAACCCCCACTTTCAAGAGAGTCAGGACCTGCTGCCATCTGGGACCTTCCTCTTACCCCCCTCCCGCCCCGGGCTCTCTCTTGCTCTTGGCAATTAGAGTGGGATCGAGGGAGCCATGTCCCCACAGCCAGCTGGTCACAGCTCCAAAGGCCAGACCTCTGGTCCCATACTCTCATTCCCACAAGAGAAAAGCCAGGTGCCCAGCAAAAGCCCAGGGCTTCTGGAGAGTCCAGCCCCAGTTGAGACGCCTTTGATAGAAACCAGACCTTGCTTCTATGCCGTGTCCCCCATGGCTCCTGGCTAGTTCTGACACTGATTTTCTTGGGATGAGACTTCTAGGTCTGTGGGCGGTGTGTGGACCAGCCTGCCAGTGTGGGGCCACAGGGAGGGGAGGGAAGGAGGCCCCTGTGTTTACCTACCTGGGGAGGGAAACCCCTTGCCGGAGCAATGAGCTGTTGGCTCAGCAGCCAGGGTCCTTTGCCTAGCCAGCAGGACTAGCTCAGCCAGGTCCCAAAGGATCTGGGCAGACTAGATCCCTACCTGCTCTTTTCCCCTCCCCAAAACACCATGTGCCTCCGATTTTCCCTGGCCACAGCCCTATGAGGGAACTGACTGAGATGGCGCTCTCCTGTTTCCCAGCTGAGGACGTAAGTTGTTTTGGGACAGCACTGAAGCCAGAGAACAGCCTGGGTCTCCCTCCAAAGAGCACTGGGGCCCTGCAGGTGGGAGAGGGCCTGGGCTGTCAGGAGGGAGAGACCCTCAGGGCCCTGGCTGGGGCAGCTCTGGAGTGAGGACCAGGTCCCAGATGGTTGTTTCAGACCTTGACACTCGGTGTCCCCAAGGAGATTCGGACCAGTTGTTCACAGAGTATCTCTAGTTCCAGGCCTTGTGCTGTGAACGCACATTTTTGCTCTGGGAAGCAGACAAGCCTACATGGCTCCTTTTCCTGGGGCCTGGGCCTGAGCTGCCGCTGCTTGCCCTTACTGCCTTCCTGTCCTGCATCCTGTTTTCTTCCTGTCCTGGCCTAGGCCTGATCCTGGTCCTGAGGGCCAACAGCTTTGGCTGTTTCCTGAGCTTTTCCCATGGTGGGTGGGGCCCTGGAGGGGGGATATTCCTGGACCAGGGACCCTCTCTCAGATCCTGCCTGTTTGAAGATTCTCTGCTGTAGACCAGATGAGACCTCGTGGGCTCACATTTACATATGTGCACATGCATGTATGTGCGAATGGCATGGTGACACAGTTCTCCAGAACATGTCACCCTTAGCAGGCTGGAGCTTTGCTAGTCCTTCGTTCCCCTCCACAGAGGTTAAAAAGACTCAGCTGTCCCCCAGGCCAGCCCTGGCAAAACTGGGATAAGAATATCTGGTTTCCCATGAGGGTAGCTCAGTCCCTAGGCCCTTAACAGCATGGGCCTGCCCACCTCCAGCAAAAATGCCCTTTTCAAAGAAACTGGCTCAGATTTTAGAAGCTTCCTTGGGTTGGGTGGAGCCTAGCTGGGGTAACTGAGGCAGAAGCTAGCCATGTTCCTCTCCTCAGAGGCTTTAGGGGTACAGTGACCCTGGCCAATACCTGTAGTGTCAGGCTAACCTGGTAGGGTCAGGTAATAGTCATCAAATTGAAGTGTCTGAGTCACAATGGGACCAGGAGAGGTGGCCCAAGTTGAGGATGGGGAGGTGAAAGTCACCACTCCTGAAGTTTAAGGCCAGCAGCCATAGCTGGGACTCCCTCTGCTTCCAGGGGTGACCTGGGGCCTCCTGAATTCCCAAGTATCCTCATTTCAAATTCAGTCTCTAGCTGACACTTGCCTGATGAACTAGATTAGAAGTCAAGTCCACTTGGTGCTCAGATGAATTTCTGTCCCATTAAGGGGATAGAGGCTACCTGGGAGACAGAGAAAATCAGAGATGGAAGCTTCCCAGAGTTGCTCCCAGATGGGGGCAGAAAGGGGGTCCTGTGCATGTTTTCTATGATGATTTTCCCAACCCCTACCCTGGCCACCCATGGTGGGGTGTAGTGCCCCTTGATGCCAGTGAGTGTCAGATGGCTGTCCTGGCTGAGGGCATAAGGACCAGTGAACTCCGGCCCCAGGGCCCCTCCTTTGGCCTTTGTTCTTCCCCCCAGCTAACTTGCTCTACCAGTTCTGGGACTGAGCAGGCTCCGGAGCCAGGCCTATCCTGAGGGTCATGGCCATGTGCTACCCTGTAGCTCAGAGGAGACATTGCTTGGGCAGTGAGTCAGGGCATACCTGGACATTGGGGGTGCTTCTGACCCCAGCTCTGAGTTTGGACAGCCCCACTGGTGCTCAGTCCTACCCAGTGATCAGGCTGAAAGGATCTCTAGGATTAATTCCAGCCTTTAGCTGAACAAGTACTGGCTGAGCATCTGCCATGTGGCTCAACTGCAAAGTCAGGAGAAAGGTCTGGTGGACTAATGGGGCATCAAGGCAATGGCACTGAGACCATGGAGTCAGGTGCACAGTGAGTGACTGAGGAGGTGGGGAGTGGGGTTACTAGGGACAAGCCCCTCTGTCCCAAGCTCTGGGAGACTTCTTGGAAGAGGTGGCTTCAGAGAACAGAATTATTTTTAAACAAGATTTTTTTTTCCTGTTGATAAGAGTGATGATACATGATGTGTGCAGATTTGCAGTGGTAGCAGAGCCCATTGTCAGCACTCTCAGAGAAGGAAAAAGGCTAGGTTCATTGGAATAACCGGGAAGGCCCCGGGCAGAAGTGCTATTTGGTAGGGTGGGTTAGATACCTTGCCTGGCCCATCAGCAGATGAACGGTCAAAAGGGAAAAATAGTAATATGTGTGCTTACAGAAAAATACAAAGAAAAAACCCATCCAGAGAGAGAATTGCTGTTAACATTCTGCCATTTTCTTCTAGGCTTTTATTAGTATATAATGCACCATAAAATTGTACCTATCCTGTTAGTTTTATATCTTGTTTTTTTCACAAAACATTGTACCGTGAGCACTTTCATTAATATTCTTGGAAAACATGATTCTGATGGCTGCGTAATATTCCATTGTGTTACTAAGCCTTAACTTTTTAAGCATTACTTGATTGTTAATTATTTAGGTTGATTTCAACTTTTCACGATTATCAACATTTTAGTAAACATACTCAGATGTGTACATCTCTGATCATTTCCTTAGGAAGGATGCCCGGAAGCGGAGTTAAGAATTCAAACTGGTTGCTTATATGACTCCCTCTATGATTCAAAGGCATAGTGTGTTTAAGGCACGCTGCCTCAACAGGACCAGTGGGATTTTGAAATGGGTTGGAACGGGTGGGCATGCTGGGAGGAGGGGGCAGTCTGAGCAAAGGCAAGAGAAGGGATGGCAGGGCTATGCTGGGGGGATGGTAAATGCATGTGTATGTTCATACACATGTGCATGTGTGTATGTACATGTGCGTAAACGTAGGGGTGTTTAGGTAAGATCTTGGCTGACTCTGGCCAAAGTCTGGACTCAATCCTGCAGGTAGTGGGGAGACCTGAAGGTCTTTTGAGGGAGTAATGTCTTTGGCACTGTGCTCTGAACATGGGTTGCGGGCAGCGTGAGGTGGGCTCGAGGAGGTAAATTTGGAGGTGGATCCTGGCAAGTGTGGTCAGAGAGCTTAGGGGTTGACTTCTTTAGGGTTGGCATCTGTTGGTTGTGCCAGGTTAGGGTGGAGGCTGGGGCCCAGTGGGAGCTGGGGTGAATGGAAATGAGCCCGTGTCCCCTCGTCTTCTTCCTAGGGGGAGGGGCACAGCCTGGGTTCAGTCCCTGGGCACTTCGCCATGTGGCCTTGTGGGGAGGCCCCAGGTAGGGAGGTCCTGCTGGAGGAGCATGGAAGGTTACCTAGTCATACAGCCCCTCAGGGACCTAGATAGGCTTCGTCTGCTGAACTCAGTGCCCAGCCGATCCCTGAGCAAGCGTCCTCAGCCTGCCTGTGCTGGCTGGGGCTCATGGTAGCTGAAGGGTGTCCCAGACACGGGTGCCCTGGGTACCAGCAGAGATGGAGAAGGAGGGCCATGGCTTCCCTCTCAGGGGGCTCCCTTGGCGACAGGCTGGCACACTGTAGGCCTATTGTCAAGGGATTTTGCAATTCCGGATGCTGGCTCCCCCCACAGCCCGTGGAAGCCACTGATGACGCCTTTTGGGACCAGTTCTGGGCGGACACGGCCACCTCGGTGCAGGATGTCTTTGCGCTGGTGCCCGCGGCTGAGATCCGGGCGGTTCGGGAGGAGTCACCCTCCAACCTCGCCACTCTGTGCTACAAGGTGAAGGGTGCCGGCCCCTCACTGCCACTCCCAGCTGAGCCATTTCCCACCCTCCCAGGGAGGCTGAAGCTGTCTCAGCCCTGTGGACAGAGAGGGCAGGCACCCAGGACACCGCCTGCCCAGGTCGGGGTGGGCCTGAGGCTTTTCCCACTTCTACCCACTGGCTGGGCTGGGGTGTGTGTGTTGGGAGGCGGTGTCTGTGACAGCCACCATTTGCGGGGGCTTCCTGGGGCCAGACCTCACTGAGCACTTCCCACAGGTCAGTTCATGCAGCTAACCCTCTGTGGTTGGTACTGTTAGTGTTGCCATTGTACAGATGAGGAAACAGGCTCAGAGGGGAGGTTACTTAGTAAGGTCTCAGCTGGTGAGTGTTGGGCTGGGCTCTCACTCCCATGATGCTCTGGGCTGCTCCTGTCCCCCTGGGTTGGCCAACCCTGTATGGAGAGGTAGCCCAGATGCCTTGGCCTCTCTGAAGCCTGGCAGGCCCATACTGACCCAAAGTGCCAGGGCCCCCCTCCCCACCCTTCTGGTGTGCCCTCTGCCCAACAGTTGTGTCCCTATAGGCTGTGGAGAAGCTGGTGCAAGGAGCTGAAAGCGGCTGCCATTTGGAGAAAGAGAAGCAGATTGTTCTGAACTGCAGCCGACTTCTCACTCGTGTGCTGCCCTACATCTTTGAGGATCCTGACTGGAGGGGCTTCTTCTGGTCCACAGTGCCCGGGGCAGGGCGAGGAGGGGTCTGTGGGCCTGGCTGGGGCTGGGTGGTCGGTGGAGTTGTGGTGACAAAGAAAGAACCTGGTCAGGGGTGGCCACATTCCCCTAAACCTCTTCCAGGGTTTGGGAAGGGCAGGGTCAGTGGGGCGGGGGTACTGCTGAGGATGGGTCAGCGTCTCCTTGAGCTTCTCCTGCCCCTACAGTTGGGCCCTCCCTGCCAGCAGCCCCCCTCTCCCAGGGGTTGTCTCCAGGTACCTGACTGAGGGGCAGGTGTGATTCCCGGCAGGACTGAGGCACGGAGTTTAGGGGGCATGGCCCGGCCCCTCCTAGATGGTGCAGGGTTCTCCCTGTTCCCAGCCCTACTTCCCATCCCCTCCTGCCTTGGGAGGTTTGGGGTAGTTATGAGTCTACTTGCTTTTCCTTCTCCTGCCTCTTCCTTCATCCCTTTGCCCAGACCCTGTGCCCTCCTGCCCCCCAAGTCCTGGGGCCACCTCTCCTTGGTGAGCTACCACTGAGGTGGCCCATGGGTGCCGTGTCCCAAGCAGGGAGAGGACGATGATGAGAATGCCCGGCCCCTGGCTGAGTCCCTGCTCCTGGCCATCGCCGACCTGCTCTTCTGCCCCGATTTCACTGTCCAGAGCCACCGGAGGAGCACTGTGGTGAGAGCCCCACACCCCTAGCCCAGGGCCAGCCTGGGCTTTGGCCCTGGGTTAGGGCTCGTTCACGTTCCTTTGGGCGGGATGCTGTGGGGGCAGGGACTGCTCCTGGAAAGCTGGGCTGCCTGGCACGCATGGTCCCTGGGAGGAGGTGGTGGCTGGCATGGCTGGAGAAGAGCCAGCTGGTGCCTGGTCCTGCCCCCTACATCCGGGAGCCTGGGCACAGGCACCCATTGTCTTCGCCTGGGCAGTGGGTGGGGCTTGGCCCAAGTTGGAGCTTAGACACAGGAGGTCTGGCCCTCTTGCTTCCCGTGGGCCTGTGGGGTCAGCCTTGTGTGTTCTCTGCCACCAGCCCCACACAGCACCCGGGTGCCCACCCCCATTCCCCTGCCTCCCTATTTTTTTCTTCTGGTCTCAAACTGTACTGAACAAATAAAAGAACCAGACTGAGGGAAAACTAGCTTTCAGGAGGTTGAACACATTCATATCTTCTCTGTGCATTAGCACTGGGGCCTTTGAAGGGTCTGTGTTTAAAAGATCATGAGGGTCACCCCCAGAGACAGTGGTAGGACTGGGTTGGCCACCCCCAGCCTGATCTCTCCCTGTCTGTCTCCAGGACTCGGCAGAGGATGTCCACTCCCTGGACAGCTGTGAATACATCTGGGAGGCTGGCGTGGGCTTTGCCCACTCCCCCCAGCCCAACTATATCCATGACGTGAACCGGTAAGCCTGGCCCAGGCCTAGGCCTGGCCCCTGAACAGCCCAGAGGAGGCATGCCTGGGGTCTTCCAAGGATACCCTGCCTGCTTGTCACCTGATTTCAGCCTCAGAGGGATAAAATGGAGCCATTCTTCCCAAGGACTTGAGCTGGTGTGGGCAGGGTGGGCATGCCCTCTTGGAGGAGAATTGGGGTCCTCGGGTACTGAACCCCCTCCCTATAACCCCTCCAAGGATGGAGCTGCTGAAACTGCTGCTGACGTGCTTTTCTGAGGCCATGTACCTGCCGCCAGCTCCAGACAGCGGGAGCACCAATCCATGGGTGCAGTTCTTTTGTTCCTCTGAGAACAGGTGAGGGGCCCCAGGCCTTGCCTTTCTCCTTGGCATTCCAGGCAGCCCTGAGCGGAGGCTGCGCTCCCGCCCAGTCTTAGTTGAGGGGAAGTGCTTCCCCCTGGTGGTGATGACCTGTAATTGAACAGCCACACCTGACCCAGCCTTCCAATGTCCCTTAGGGGGGCCCTGGGTGACGAGTGTCTGGATCCTCCATCTAGAGCCGTGCTGTATAGTAGAAACATAATGTGAACCACATAAGCAATTTGAACATTTCAAATAGCGACATTACTAAAGTAAAAAATAAACAGGTGAAATGAATTTTAATATTTATTTTAATCCGATATAACGAAAATACTATTAGCGTTTAGCATGTAATCAATATACAAAATTATTGAGATGTTTTACATTCCCGTTTTCATGCTAAGTTTTCAAAATCCAGTGTGTAGTTTGCACTTACAGAACATCTGAGTTCGGACTAGGTACGTTTTAAGCTCAAAAGCCACATGCAGCTTGTATCAGGGAATGCAGTTTAGACCATGGGTGGGGAGGGGGCTTGATGAACACCCTGAAGGATAGGAAGCCCAGCCCATGTGGGGGTGTCCCGAGACTCTGGGGCTCATACGAGCACATGGAGGTGTCAGGTGTGGGACTGAGCATTTGGAGTAGGTCCACAGTATCCAGCTGTGGGCCCAGGGCTAGACTGGCAACACGGGGGTTAGTGACCCTGCGGGTCTGGTTCACCCTCTTACTTCCAGCCTGGCCCACATGGCAAGCCTCACCCTTTGGGTTTTGCTGGCCTCCTGCACAACCCTTTTTTCATTCTCCAGAAGAGAAGGGAACCCAGGTGACTCCCTCTGCCAGCCACGGTCAAAAGCTGGCCAGAGTTCCCTTTCTCACCAGCCTTACCAGGCAGATGTCCATGCTGCGTCACTTGCTTACTTGCTCTGGGCCTCAGTTTCCTTGTCTGTAATATGAGGAACTTGAACCCTGACTTCTTACAAATCTCTGAATGGAGTTCGGTGGAGGAACTGGGTGATTGAGCGCACGCTGTGCTTCCCGAGGCGAAGCCTACCTCCCTGGGACCCTCCAACCCCCTCTCTGAAGCCCTGAGGGAGGGTCTCTGCTCCTCGAACCCTGAGCGACATGCATATACACTTATCCAAGTCCGTAGATTGTACAAGAGTGGACTCTGGGTCATGTGGCATATGGGCGTAGGTTCGTAGATTGAAAAGGTCTCCTGTGATGGAGGACGTGCACAGTGGGGGAGGATGTGCATGTGTCGAGGCAGGGGTACATGGGAGATCTCTGTGCCTTCCTCTCAACTTTGCTGCGAACCTAAAACTGCTCTCAAAAATAAAGTCTTTAAGAAATAATTTTAAAAAAGAATAATTTCAGCTCCTGAGGAGAACAGTCTGAAGGGTGTGGGAATGATTTCCTACAGAGACCCCCTCATGACTGGTCACACCACTGTTGGTAATAAATTCCTTCTGCCCTTGGCCCAACCCGGCCAGCATCCTGGATGGAGGAGGAGGTCCCTTCTGCTCAGGAACCATGAGCTCCTGGTTCTGCTCCCCGGCCCCTGGCTCAGGGCTGGCATGGGAGCACTTTTTGAATTGGCATGAACACCTGTGGCTTGGCTGACCCTCCCGCGTGCCTGGGGCTGGGCAGGGGAGGACCTGAGCACTGGGCCCAGGGTGTCTCTGCAGCCCTGGCCCTCCTCTCCCACCACAGACACACCCTGCCCCTCTTTACCTCCCTCCTCAACACCGTGTGTGCCTATGACCCTGTGGGCTACGGGATCCCCTACAACCACCTGCTCTTCTCCGATTACCGGGAACCCCTGGTGGAGGAGGCCGCCCAGGTGCTCATCGTCACCTTGGACCATGACAGCACCACCAGCACCAGCCCCACGGTGGACGGCACCACCACAGGCACTGCCATGGACGACGCTGACGTAAGGCCGGGACAGGGAGGGCAGCCGCTGGGCCAGGCTGCAGGCGGCAGTACCTCTTTTAGGCATACCCAGTGGGCACCTCGTGGGGAACCCAGGGCTATCTGAGACTGAGGAGCCACTGATGCTACCACCTAGGCCTGGGTGGGGCCAGAGGGTGAGGGCACCTGCTCACACCAGGCTCCACCCTCGGCAGCCTCCAGGGCCTGAGAACCTGTTTGTAAACTACCTGTCCCGCATCCATCGCGAGGAGGTAAGTCAAACACTCTTTTTGCTCTGGTGGATTCTTGGTGCCCACCCCCACCCCCGAGGGGTTATGACCTTGTAGGGAGTGCAAGGCTGCAGATAAGATGGGGTGAGGGAATACTGACCCCTACAGGAAGGGACCATGGTCTCTGCTGACTTGGGCTACCCCAGATGAGATAGGGATGGAAGGACTTGGAGGGTTTGAGGTGCAGAAAAGTGACTGATAGTCTCAACTGTGTGGGGGTAACCAGGAAGGCTTCTGGGAGGCGGCGGTGGCTCTGATGTCAGGTTGAGTACAGGGAATGACTGGGCTAAAAGGCCAGGCAGACCTGAGTTCATGTGTTGTGACCTTGGTGGAAATTCTTGCGCTCCCAGAGCTCTAGCTCCTGCTTCCTTGCCTTGTCATGGGGATTAACTGAGAGCCCATCCCAGGGGGTAGCGGGTACTCAGTGAGAGACAGCTCTTTGGGAATAGTGTAATGGGGGTGACTGTGGTGGCCATGGTACCTGTCAACCGGGAGTCCAGGTGGGCTGGGGCCCAGTTCTGGGTGGGGATGGAGGGTTACAAGGAGCAGCTTTACTCAGGGCAGGGAGCCTGTGGTCTGGTAGAAGGTCAGGGGCTCTCCAAACCTGCCCTGGACTCAGCTTCCTGAGAGGCCTGGTCCAGGACAGCTATTTCTGGTAGAATCCAGGCCCCTCGGACTCTAAAGGTCAGATCAGACTCTGGGGGAGTGAGGAGGCATTTGTGTGAGTGAGTGGGGCAACCAGGAAGGCTTCTGGGAGGAGGCGGTGGCTCTGATGTCAGGACTTCCCCCACCCAGGACTTCCAGTTCATCCTTAAGGGCATAGCCCGGCTGCTGTCCAATCCCCTGCTCCAGACCTACCTGCCCAACTCCACCAAGAAGATCCAGTTCCACCAGGAGCTGCTGGTCCTCTTCTGGAAGCTCTGTGACTTCAATAAGGTGTGCTGGCCTCAGGGGCGCTCACACCAGCAGCTCGGTCTGCCAGAGGTGGGGTGTGGCTACTGGATAGCCCAGGGGCGGGGAGACTCTGAGGAGAAGGATGGGACAATGGCCTCTCCCTCTGACCCCATCGGCCTGTCCCCTCCAGAAATTTCTCTTCTTTGTGCTGAAGAGCAGTGATGTGCTGGACATTCTGGTCCCCATCCTCTACTTCCTCAACGACGCCCGAGCAGATCAGTGTAAGGCCAGGTTGGGCATGGGATCCTGGGGGTTCCTGGAGAGGGGCGGGTCCACCCAGCTGGTACCCTGATCTCCCAGGGAGGGCTGCTTCCAGCTCCCCAAAGGTGGGTCCCTGCTCAGGGTTGCTTTCTCCCTCCCCACCCTGTGTGGTGACCCTTCCATACCACATGCCGCAGCTCGGGTGGGCCTGATGCACATTGGTGTTTTCATCCTGCTGCTTCTGAGCGGGGAGCGGAACTTTGGGGTGCGGCTGAACAAGCCCTACTCAGTGCGAGTGCCCATGGACATCCCGGTCTTCACTGGTACCCACGCAGACCTGCTCATTGTGGTGAGGGGGCTTCCTTAGCCAGGACCTGGGATGTGGGGGTGATGTCCTCTGGGCTGAGTCTGCAAGTGGTGGGGACCCCAAGACCACCCCACTGCCTTCCTGCACAGGTGTTCCACAAGATCATCACCAGCGGGCACCAGCGGCTGCAGCCCCTCTTTGACTGCCTGCTCACCATCGTGGTCAATGGTAGGCGGGCCGGGAGCCCACTTCCCCATGCTCACCACCAGGTGGTGCCTGACCACACGCGGCTGACCTGCCGTGGCCTGGTTCCAACCTGCCTCATCCTGTAGAAATATAACGGCAGCCATTGTACAGTTTATGTACTGGTCAATTTTCCAGTAGCCACGTTAAAAAAATCAAAAGGTGATGATTTTGTAATATACTTTATTTCATCCACTATATCCAAAATACCATCATCTCAATGAGTAACCACTATGAAAAATTACTGAGGTATTTTATATTCTTTTGCACCATCTTTAAAATCTTGTATGTGTTTCACACATGCAGCTCATTTCAGTGAGGATTAGCTATGTTTCAAGCACTTAATGACCACATGTGGCTCGTGCTACTGTACTGGACAGTGTAGGTTTGGACAAAGACAGGGTGCTGACATGTGCCCCACCCACTGGGCTGGACTGCACACAGCTGCCTCGGAGGGGCAGGTCTCAGGCTGGCTCTGAGAATGTATTTGTGGAAGAAAAACCCACTGATGCTGCCCTAATCTAATTAGGGAGAGAGACACGAGACAGGGAAGCACCCAGATAGTGTGTGACTTCAGGCTGTGGGCAGTGTTTCGTCTCTGATACTCTCTCAGGCTGTGCAAAAAGTACATATTTAATTACATGTAGAATGTTGGTTTGCTATTCGAGAAAGACTTAAAGACCCTGAGTTTGTACCTCTGCCCAATCATTTTATAACTGGGGGACTTTGGACAAGCTGACAAACTTTTCTAGAGTCTCAGTTTCCTCTTCTGTGAAATGGGGATATTTTTGTCTGTGTCCTGCCTCCCTCTCAAAGGTGTGGGGAGGAGTGGCCAAGAAAGCATGCATGAGTGTGGCTGTTCTCACAGTGAAGGAGCAAGGCTGAAGCCCAAACTGTCTCCCAGGCTCTGCAGATGGCATGGCCAGTGTGGCCTTGGCCTCTGCAGGCTTGGTCTTCCCGGCTTTGCAGGGGGTTCGCAGGCAGGGGGCAGGGAGGGTTTAGGAGCTGGAGCATCTTGTCCTGCTCAGGCCCAGGATGTGCAGGGATGGCTTTGGGGGCCCCCAGGAGTGAGCCAGCCCCTCCCCTGCAGTGTCCCCCTACCTCAAGAGCCTGTCCATGGTGGCCGCCAACAAGCTGCTGCACCTGCTGGAGGCCTTCTCCACCACCTGGTTCCTCTTCTCTGCTGCCCAGAACCACCATCTGGTCTTCTTCCTCCTGGAGGTCTTCAACAACATCATCCAGTACCAGTTTGATGGTGAGGCACCAGCCCAAGCCCCTGGCCTGGCCTCGGGGCGGAATCAGGGTGTTAAGTGGCAAAGGACCCCTTCCTGTCTAAGGAGGGCACAGCCCTCTGCCCCCTTCAACAAGCATCGACTAAGCACTTGTTGTGTCCCAAGCCCAGTGCTAGATGCAGAGGATACAGTGGAGAACAAAGCACGGTGCTGTCTGCACCATGGAGCTCACAGCTGGGGATAGGGGTATGGAGAGAGGCTTCAAACAGATGGTCACCCAGAAAAATAGGTCATGCTAACTCTAAAGAGAGAGAAGTTCAGAGTGGTCTGACCCTGATGGGTGTTGCAGATACTGCACTGCCTGGTGTAAATTAGGGCCTTACCATTTGTTAGCTCTGTGACTATGGGCACATGACCTAACCTCTCTGAGCCTCGGTTTCTTCATCTGTAAGGTCATAACAAAAATACTGAGTTCCTATCTCATAGGGTTTGGGGAGGCTTAAGTAAAATAACCCCCAAAAGCCTGTTGCACAGTGTCTGCTGACTTAAATATTTGCAGTTATTATTAATTCCAAAATAGGAATATTTGCACTGATCTATGGAGGGATGAATGGGGGTAAAGGGTAGCAAAGTGTTGGAGGGGGTCAGCATGTGCAAAGGTCCTGGGGAGAGATGTTGAACTGAAAGCAGAATAGTGTGGTGAGAGGTAGGGGCTGGAGAGTTGGATGGGGCATTGAAGGCCTGAAAAGCACCTGTATCTTCCCCAGGAGCTGAGGGACCCAGCATGGGAAACGGGGCACAGGCATATGCCAAATTGACCTCCCTCCCTGGTATCCTGGCTCTGGGAGACAGTCAAAATATTGAGCAGCTAGCCTGGTGTGGACACTGACATGTGTTAGCCTTTAGTGTGCTGGGTTGTAAGGGAGTCTGGGAGGTACCAGGGAGGGGAATAGGGGGACGCCAGCCCTGAAGCTCTTCTCCAATAGTGTGACATCCTGGTAGCCGTACTGCCAGCCAGCACATACTGCCAGGTGCCAGCCCTGCCCCTGCTCCCTCTCTAGGGCCCCCTGTACTAGACACCCTCCTCTCCTCCAAACCCTCTCTCCCAGGAAGCCCGCCCAGGTGGAGGGGGTAGGTGAGGAGGGGCTGAGGTGAGGCACGCTCCCTTCCTACAGGCAACTCCAACCTGGTCTACGCCATCATCAGAAAGCGCAGTGTCTTCCACCAGCTGGCCAACCTGCCCACCGACCTACCTGCCATCCACAAGGCTCTGCAGCGGCGCCGCCGGGCACCCGAGCCCTTGTCCCGCACCGGCTCTCAGGAGGGCGCCTCCATGGAGGGCTCCCGCCCCGCTGCCCCTGCTGAGCCAGGCACCCTCAAGACCAGCCTGGTGGCCACCCCAGGTCTGGCGCTGGAGGGAGGCACTGGGGTGTGGATACCAGCATAGTTGGGGGATGGGCAGGGTCTCTGTGCCATCACCTCATCTCTGGAAAAGGGCATGGTCTTAGTTGGGAAGCTGAGGGGGTGGGGATGGGCAACAGGGGTGGGGGCCCAGGAAGGGTAGCTTGGCTTGGGCCTTGGGGTTGGGTGTGGGCTCTGGGAGTGGTGGGCACAGGAGTGAGGGTGCTGTGCGGCCACAGCATCTCTAAAGTGGGTGGAGGGCACCTCCTGGGGCCTGGGCCCGGTGCACATGCTTTCCTGGAGGGGCACCGTGGCCAGTGTCCTCACACCCACCTGGGCCCCCTAGGCATTGACAAGCTGACAGAGAAGTCCCAGGTGTCAGAGGATGGCACCTTACGGTCCCTGGAGCCTGTGCCCCAGCAGGGCTCTGCAGACGGCAGCCCGATTGTGGAGGTGGGCCTCGGGGACCCTGTGGGGGGCTTTCCCTTTCTCCCTGGCCTCCCCAGGGTGGGCCAGGCCAGGGTACCCTAGGGTCACCTGCAGCAGAGGGGCAGGCCCCTAGCACCCAGGGCATCTGGGCTGGCACTGTTGCCTGTCAGCAGGGACCTTTCCCAGACCACCTCCCTTGTTAGTGGTCACGGGTTCAAGCCATTGGCCTTGACTCCTCATCCACCAGCCTTATCTGAGGCTGAGCTGGCCTTTACCCGGACTGCACAGGCAGTCCCTGGCCCTAAACCTGTCACCAGGCTGGGCTGGGTTGGGCAGGGCTTGGGGCCCAGGGCAAAGGGTGCTGGGATGGGCTATCCCCTCCTTTCCCCCCAAACATGGGCCAGTGGAGAGACCTCATTGCCTTCCTAGGTTCTGGGCGGTGGAGGGACTAGGAAGAGGGGCTGCTGTTTCTCTGCCCTCGGTCCATCCCCTGTACCCAACTCCCTCCGCTCCCCATTCTCACTCCTTCCCCCTGACCAGGAGCCCAGCCAGGCGCGGAGGGAGCAGCGGCGACTGTCCAATGCATCAGCCAGTGGGCAGTGGAGCCCGACGTCAGAGTGGGTGAGGGTTTGGTCAGATGGCACCAAGGTGGGGGCGGGGCGGGCTCCTGGCCCGAGGAACAGCTCTGTTAAGGCTCAGATGGAAATATGTCCACATCCAAGGATGAGCTGGGGGCCAGGTTCAGGGCCAGTCCTCAGGCTGCGTGACCTCGGCTTGGCCTCTGTGGCTCAGCTGCTTCCCATCTGCACTGCCCCCGAGGCCCCTCACAGGGTGAAGCGCCAGCTGCCCACAGAGCTCTCTTAGTGAATCACCCTTCTTTTCCTGCATCACTTGCCTACTTCCTTCTCTATTTCCCTGGATCACCACTAATTATACTTGCCTGGGGCCAATAAACATCCCTACCTGATCATGCCACTGTGAGGGATCAACAGGGCAGTTTCTGGCACGCAGTATGTGTTCAACTTGAGGCCAGGGCTTTCAGCATGAAAAGCAGTCACTGTTCATGGGCACTGCCCTGTTCCAGACCCTTGCTGTGGTGAGCAGGGACTCCGCCTGCCTCGGGGAGCCCGTGGTTCTGGGTCAGGGGTCAGACCTGCCCTGTAGCCTCTGGAGGTACAGCTGAGCCCCAGGAGCCCCGGCCCCTTCCCCAGGTCCTCTCCTGGAAGTCGAAACTGCCGCTGCAGACCATCATGAGGCTGCTCCAGGTGCTGGTGCCCCAGGTGGAGAAGATCTGCATTGACAAGTGAGGCCGGAGAGGGGTGGGCAGAGGGGCTCTGAGGAGGGCCACCTGTGCTTGGGTCGGCAGTGACCCGGAGCATGGGCTTCTAGGGTCTGGAGTGAGCCCCACGCTCCCCTTGACCTTCAGGGTGGGCTTTCCCACGTGAGCACATTGGAGATGAGCCTACTCTCCCCGCAGGGGCCTGACAGACGAGTCGGAGATCCTGCGGTTCCTGCAGCATGGCACCCTGGTGGGGCTGCTGCCTGTGCCCCACCCCATCCTCATCCGAAAGTACCAGGCCAACTCGGGCACAGCCATGTGGTTCCGCACCTACATGTGGGGTGTCATCTACCTGAGGTGGGACACCGCAGGGGGCGGGCAGTCACCAGCTTGGGTGGGCCTGGTGTCCTCCTGAGGGTCTGCACAGTGAGGCTCAGCAGGTGACTGAGTGGTTGATGTCAAGACAGCCAACCAGGGTGGTCTTACCTAGTTGAGGGTGGGCGCCCACTGCCCAGGGTGGGACACCAGGGTGGGAGAGGTTTGGGGCAAACCACTGCCTAGCTCTTCCCTGCACCGCGAGGCATCCCAGCACCCTGGTGACAGCGCACTCCCTCCACAGGAATGTGGACCCACCCATCTGGTACGACACAGACGTGAAGCTGTTTGAGATCCAGCGGGTGTGAGGATGGAGGCCTGCAAGGGGCTGGGACCAGGCGAGGGTGGGGGCCCTGGTGCCCCTGATCTTTCCCCTGACCCACTGTTCTGAGCTTTAAGTGACCACGATCAGGGCCAGAGGCCAGCAGAGTGGCTGAGTCCTGGGTGGCAGGCCCCAGAGGCCCTCGTGGCTGGGATAGTGGAGACCAGTTCTGACCACCCCCACCCCAAACTGCTGACCTCCCAGGGACCTCCCATCTCCGGGGCTACAGGCCCTGTCTGGTCGGAGCCCCCACCTCCAGACCTGTTTCTGTGCCCACCTGGTTCCTGTGCTACCCACCCCCAGAGGCCAGCAGGTCACTGTGCCCTGATGGGTTGCCCAAAAGGAGGCTGTGAACTGTCCCTTGAGGCACCTTGGCAGGATGAGGGGGGTACTTCCAAGCCTCCTAACCTGAAACTGTCCAGACTGAGCTGGCTGCCTCCCCAGGAGGAAGGAGGGTGGCCAGGCTGCTTGAGGAGGAGGCTGGAGGTGGGCAGATTGCAAAGGCCAGACTGGAGGACCTCATACACTTTAGGGGTTTGAAATGGGGTGTTGACAGTCTCCTGCTCTATTCTCCTGGGTCAATGGATATAGCTTGGCTCTCTTATCCAGTAATGGGGGCAAAGGGAATGGGGGTGGGGGACAGCTCTTCAGCTCTCCCTGCCCCCACCCACTGCCTGGATGACTGGGGGGCATTTAGGGGGCCTGGAATGCCACCCCTCTGGCCTGTGGGTCTCCCTTACCCCATCTGTGTCAGTACAATCTTTGCTCTGTACAATCGGACTCTTTACACAATAAAATCCCCTTCTCCACGCCCCACCTCTTTATGCTTGGAGGGTAGAGGGTTGGGCCATGGCTCTTGTCTTCAGAGCAGCTGGGGATTCTGGCCCCCTGGAGACAGTCCACAGAGGGCCCTCAGTGTATGACTTGTCATTTTCTTCAGTGGGAAAGTAGAAGATTGGACTCTATCACCCAGGGCTTGGTCCCCTAGCCTGTGGCCACCCAGAGAAAGCCCCCACACAGGAGAGGCAAGGGACCTGCCTCTCAGCTTCCTGCACAGCCCCCGGGGTCTCTGCTGGCCCCAGACAACTCCTGAGATAGCACTGAGGGTCCCCGGGGCTGCACTTTGTGTTTGCCAGTGCCCGGCTTCAGAGGGAGGGGCCCAGAAGCATGCAAACCTGGGCCTCACCCTGGGACTCACCCGGGGCACAGCCTGCTGTTTGCACTGGGCTCAGGGAGACGGATGGGCTGTCAGGGCCTGCCCTCCCCACCCGACAGCTCAGAGGACCAGGCCGCAGCCGCTGTCATGAGTAAGCTGGGGCTCTGTCTCAGAGAGGGGGTGTGCTGGTGAGGGGCGGAGGGATGCAAGAGCCCCAGTCCCCCTCTTCCCACCTCCTCCCTTGGATCAGACAAGGGTTGGACTGCTTTAGATCCCTTCTGTCCCAGAAATGGGACTGTCCCAGTTCCAAAGACCTGCCTAGGAGGACCACCTCTTTCCACCATACCCAGAGTGGCAGCTCTGTCCCTGGGAACAAATGCCACGAAGCCTGAATGTAATTGATCAAGTAAACAGGGTTTATAGCAGCAGGAGAGAGCTGTTGAACCCTGCCTGGCAGTTAATTAATGACCTCATTAGGAGACAGGGTGGGTGGGGAGAGGGAAGGGCCGCCAAGAAGCTGTGAACCTCCAGGGTGCCCTGGGCTGAGCTTGGACCGTGCACTCTTCCTATGGCAGAGGCAGACCTCTGGGGCCCGGCTGGGTAGGGGTTCCCCTCTTCAAACTCCCCAGACTCAGTCATTTAGGGCTAACCCTCCCAGAGAAAAGCTGTGGGGCTTCCTGGGGCATGCCTTGGGCTGTACTGATTGTGGTGGTGAGCAGAGGCAGGCATGTGCCCAGTCCTAGATGTGGGCACATCAGAAGCTCCCTGCCCTTGGTCTTGGGCTGCAGACAGTGCCTTCCCCACCTCAGTGGGACTCTGGGGAGGGGCAGGCTTTGGGAACCCAGGCTGGTCTAGGCCCCCCCAGATCGGAGCATCTGCTTACAGGCTCTGGGTTACCTTCTCCCTAGCCTTGGCACTTTGGGGTTCTGCCAGGGTTGGGTTCCTTGGGAAGTCTCAGGCCCCTAAGTAGACTTCCACCAGGCCCCCCACAGAGTGCATGCGGTAGAAGACCCCCAGAGGCAGGCCAAAGTTTACGATGGTGAACCACGTCCGGTAGCCATAGAAATCCTTTTCCAGCCCGTTCTCAAACTCGGGGTGTATGCCAAACGCAGGCATCATCCATAGCTGGGGAAGAGAGGAGGGAGTTGAGTGGGGGAGGGGGCTCCTCCAGCACATCCCCAGCCCGAGCAAACCCCCACCTTGGGCTTTCAAAGCCACCCCCACCTCCTGTCTCTCCCTCACCCCTTAACCACTGCCACCTCCTTGGCTTACCAGCTTGAATGAACTCTGGATGGATCATGAGCCCCCAGGCTGCCACCATCCGTGGTACAACCTGCTCTTTCAGTCTGGGCTCCCCTGTGCCTTGATGGCAACCACCTCTGCTCTTGCTTCATTCTGCGAGTCATGCCTCTCTGCCCCCTCCACCCCAGTCCACCTTCTGTCCAAATTCCACCCCTTTCTGGAGGCCCAGGTCAAACCTCACAGAACCTTCTTGGGCTGCTTAAGCACACACTGCCTTCTCTGAGCTCCCACTGCATGTCAGGTCCAGTTTATTCCTTGTGTTCTGACTGGACCAGGGCTTTCACCATTATGGGCTCAAATAACTCTGAGTTGTTCCAGCACTGCCACTTGCAGGCTGTGCGAGCATGGGCAGGCCAACAATCCAAGCCTCAGTTTCCTCATCTGTCAAATAGGTGCTTATTGCTTGGCATTACGTGGTGGTGCAGTGAGATGCAGAGCTCTTGTGTGAAGAGGTGGACCTGGACCTGACAGCCACCAGACATGGAGCAATCACTGTCAACACTTTCCGCTAGAGATTCTTTAGAAAATCAGGCGCTTTCTGATCCCTTTCTTTGAATTCAGTGAATGATTAATTATTTGGTAATTTCTTAACTGGTCCCCTGGTGTCTTCCCAACTAGACAGTGAGTTTCCCAAGAGTAGAAATCTTACATGTTTGTTTGTAAAGAGCACTTAGCTACATGCTTGGCATATTCATTCATGCCAGGCACCTTGCAGGGAGCTGGGGAACATGCTCAGCTCTCAAACAGCATGGATCTAGTTGGAAAGAGGCATGCGTCCTTGACCATCAAAGAGACCAGCCCATCACCCTCGGGACAGTCACTGCTCAAGGAATACGCCTTGATCCATTCCTTCCTGAGTGAGGTTTCTGGGGCCACCTGGCCAGCTCTGTCCCCATGCCTCCCAGCCCGCCCACTCACTGTGATATTGCAGAGGATGAGGAAGAGTGAGATCTCCTTGAGCGCCCGCCGCTTCCAGTTGAGGTGGCTGTAGGAGTGGATGTAGGCTAGTGAGGCCCGCTGCAGGCCCTGGCTGAGCTCCAGCAGGGAGCCCCTGCGCGGTGTCTCACCCTCCCGCTTCCCTGCCGGCCCCTCGGGAGCAGCCTCCCAGAGTGGGCGCCGGTGCAGGCCCTCGACGATGAAGAGGTTCTGGGCGATGTGCTGCACAATGAGCAGCAGCGAGTAGGCCAGGATGAGGCAGTTGAGCAGTTCATGGGGGCGGGTGGCCACAATGGCCACAATGGAGAAGTAGGCAATGCCCATCTGGCCCAGCGCAGCGCCCATCAGCAGCACCACGTCCAGGCTGCGGGTGGGGTTCTTAAGCCTGTCCAGCTCGCGCTCCTCCAGCCCGTGGATGGCCGTGCCTGCTAGGCATGCCAGGCTCATGGTGGGCAGCACGGCTACATAGAAGGCATAGTAGAGGGTGAAGTACTCATGCGCGATGGCAGGGCCACTGGCTTCGATCTGGAAAAGCACAAAGATGCACATGCCTGCCACCAGCACCAGCAGACCCAGCAGTGGCCCAAAGATGGCCCCATGCAGGTGGAAGGGCGGGGTGCTGTGGTGGGTGCCTGTGCGGTGCGCCAGGTGACGGCCTACGTTCTTCCACATGACGAAGAGCATGGCACAGCAGATGAGGCAGTACTCGGTGCTGAAGGGGTAGAGCATCAGGTAGCCCTTCTGGAAGACCTCACACACTGTGGCATTGAGGCACAGGCAGGTGTTGGTGTCATTGCCTGGGAGGGGGCAGGGCAGGAAGGGATGGACATTTAGGTGGGCCTTGCTCTGGGGAAATCAGCTGCACAGATCAGTCACATTCCCCTCCAGGTTATGCCAGAGATGGAAGGGACCCAGGCACCCATTTTTCAGATATGGAAACTGCAGCCCAGAGAAATCAGAAATCACAGGACGTTTGTGCCTTACAAAGGGATTTGAGACCAAGCTTACATGAAGCACTTTACATGTGATGTCATTAGTGCCCAATGTCACCGCTACAGACTACTTGTTGGGCACAAGGGGAAATTTCTACCATTATAATGGGAGGATCTGGCTGCTACATTTGAACCCTCTGTAGCCCACTCCGTGGAGTAATGAGACGTCTTGCCTTGCGATGAGGTGCCCTGCAAAGTGGAATGCTGGTGCCAAATGTATTTAATTGGAACCTAATCAAGACTTTGGTCCATACTTTCAGTTTCTGGGAAAAGCACAGGAGAGGGAAGTAAGGCAAATGCCACCCCTAGGAAACAACTTGACAATCTCAATATCATTAGGAAAAGAGAGATTTAAGGGACTACAACCAAATGCATTGTATGTTTGAAAAAACCAACATAAAAGACATTCATGGGCTGACTGGAGAAAGTTGACTCTAGATCAGTGTAGAGGATGGGGATGATGCGAAGGGATTTTGTTAGAAATTATAATAGCATTGTGGAAATATACTTATTTTAAAGAGATGCATATTGAAATGTTTGAGATGAAATGCCATGATCTTTGTAATATAAGTAACTCAGCAAAAAGTTGAAATAAATGTGGCAGCAAGTTAATAACTACTGCATCTAGGTGGTAGGTAAATCCTGTTCTTACTCATCTGAATGTTTGAATTGTTTATTAATAGAAGAATCCATTATGTCATTTGCCAAGAATTCTCTTTGCACAGGTCTTCTGAAAAATGTATCCAGAGTATAAAGAACACCCACGTATAAGGCAGGCCATGGTTTATGCAATGGGTGTGTAAATGTATGAGTGTGCTGGGAAGGCTTGGCTGTACACAGGTCAGGATGGTGATGCCATCTGGGGTGGGGGGCTATACACATGCAGGTGTGACTGAATCTCAGACAGCAGTGCTCCCATATAGGTTTATGGGGTACAGCCTCCCAGGGGCAAACTGTATAGGTAGGGGATTGGGCACATGGAACAATCCAGGGAGTTCTTCCTGCCCAGACATCTTTGTGCCTCCTGATATGTTCGGGTACCTAAAATTGTGTTAGGAAGATGTTTCTTTCAGTCCTGGGGGCTTTTTTTTTAGTTTCTTGCAAGTAAAATGCAAATAGCAGGGGTGGGGTGCTTACCTGGACTTATCAGTGAAAAGCTCAGCTAGGATTATGGCTAGCTTGCTGACAACTAGATGGATGCCTGGAGCAGGGTGGCAGGTGCCAGCACCTGACGGGGCAGGCCCAGATGGGGGCAGGATGGATACCATTGGCAAACATCAGTTACTCTTTAGTCATGATCTGGCCTCTCGGGTTTGCTCCCAGTGCTGTAGATTGGCTGAGCCTCGCCTGTTTGAGGGGGTATAGCCTGTTTGCATATGCATGTGCGTGTGCGTGTGCGTGTGTGCATTGGGAGTGGGGGTCCTGGTCTCCTCAGTACCTGAGAGTTTTTCCATGAGGGCACTGAGCTCAGCCTCGATCTCGCGGTGCATGGAGTCATTGGTGACGGCCAGAACCCACAGCAGCAGGTCTGTGGCCAGCGTCAGCATCAGGCCACACCTGCAGGATGTGCCACACTCTGCCACACAGCCTGGGTGGCTCTCCAGGTGCCCCACCCTCACCATCACTGCCTTCAGGGCAACCACTCTCTCCCAAAGCCAGACCCATCTGGCATTAGGACTTTAGGAGAGGCAGCCCTACAGGTCACTTAGGATGCACTCCCAGACTAACCCACAGCCCCAAGGATACCCTGTCCTGGGAAGTTGTGAGGGGCAAGTGCTAGCGGGGACAGGAAGAACCCCAGGAGTTACTGGAGGGAGAGAACTCACCCCATCTTACCTAGTGAAGTTGGTCTGGACCTGAACACAGTCCTTAGAGTGTTTCCAGAGCACCCAGGTCTGAAAGAGATAGGGCCTTGAGCCTAGAGGCTGGGGATGGTGGTGGGGCGCTGTGGGGGTATGTCTGTTTACAATGGAAGAGACAGTGCGGAAGTCTGGGTTGGACTCCTGGCTCCACTGTTTCCTTACTGTGTGGTCTTGGGCCAGTGGCAACACGTCACTGAGTCTCAGTCTCCTTGGCTCTAAAATGGGGCTAAAATGCCTACCCCTTAGCAGAATGCTTATTTATTGGTGAAATAAAAAGGATGATGCAAATGAACACCTAGCACAGCAATTTGTACAGAACAGGAACTCTGGAGGGAGTTGGATATTATTGAGAGTGGCTCTGTATATCTGGGAGTGTGATTTAGGTATGTGCAAGTGGGTACAGGCAGATGTATTTATAGGTGTCTGCATTTCAGTGACAATGTGTGTGCTGGTGCAGGTACATGCAAGTGTGCGTGGATGTGTGTACAGAGAGGCAGGTCTTTGTGAGGGGGCTGTGGTATGTATGCCCGTACCCTGGGCCGGGTAGGGATTTGCTGTGGGGTTGTACCTATGCGTAGATATGGGTGTGTGCATATGATGTGGTAGGCAGAGTATGTTCCTGGTGGCATGGGGATGGAGAGTTCTGTTACCTGGATGCCGATGAAGATGATCTCAATGACAGGGAAGATGAGCTCCAGTTTTGACTTGCAGTGGATGTGGCTGACGTCATAGCCCACTCGGAAGATGTTGAGGCAGATGGTGCAGCTGCCGAAGAGCACCAGAGAGCCTGGCAGGCCAGGTGGCCATTGGCACCTCCCCTAGAGTGAGAGCTCCCTCCCCACTCCTCCATCCGCCCAGTGCCCCAACACTCACCCCGCACCCAAATGGGTCCCGCATGAGGGTCCTGGTGGAGCACCGGGTGTGGCCGGCGGGTGGTGCTGGCGGTGTAGTAGAGGAGCCAGAGGAGGGACAGGGCCTTCAGCACAGCCAGCAGGATCCACACGTCGCCCAGTGTGATGGCCACGTTGTTGAAAATCATGCTACAGATGAAGGCGCTGCCCAGGAACACTACATTGAGGGCCAGGAGTCCCGAGAAAAGCTGCCCTGCCTTCTGGGCCTGTCGGTCCCTCCGCAGCAGCAGTGCGAAATGTCGCACCAGCCAGGACTGCTGGTGAGGTAAGGTGGGGGCCCCTGTCTCCTCGGCCCCCAGATCCACTCGGTTCTCCATGGCCAGGGCTGCTCCAACCTCCTGGGCTTCTGGAGAGGCCATGGGTGGAATCTCAGAAGGGGCTGGGAAGGGAAAAAGGGTCCTGGTTGGGGGCCAGGCTGTGTTCAGTTCCATTCCTGCCCCTCACGGCTGTGTACTCTTAGGCCAAACTATGCAATCTCTCTGGTGGGAATATTGGAAATAATAGCAGCTGCCCCATCTACCTTACAGGACCTGAGTCAGTTCAAACAGACCAGGGGATATGAAAATGCTCTGTGTTCCAAATAGACACAGGAATTATTTCAACTGGCCTGAGGACACCCCCACCCCCACCCCAACTCAACACACCACTCAACCAAGGCCTGGCAAGGCCATCTCACTTCCCATCTCAGTGCCTGATCTTAAGAAGGAAAATCATGTCTGTCAAGGGAGCCAGCAACAGCTGCACAGTGCTTGGCCTTAGGGCATTTTCCAGGGCTGGGACTTTTTATCATCCAAAGGCAGCTTGAGCTCTGCTGACTTCTGGGAGGAATTTCACTCCTGAAGTCAGGGAAGCAAGTAGGTATCCTCTCTTGTTCTGACTCTGGTTACTTGGGTAATGATTGCCTAGAGTGTTGTGCTGAGAAGGATCCTGAGACTGAGTGTGGACTTGGTGGGAAAGAATGCTGTGACCTGAAAGGCTCTACTGTGGGTACTATGGGTGTATAAAGAATTACTTTTAAAAGGTATAGAAGATACCCACCAGGATGCAGAATAGAATTTTTTTCTGGGGAAGGGTGGAGGGTGGAAGGTGCTAGGATTGGGAGTGGGTTGATATTCTAGTTTTAAAAAACATGTTACTTTATGTATGTGATTTAAATTAATTTTAAAGAACGTTAAAGGTTTAGGGGTCAAGTTCTAGGATTGATTTGCAATGTCTGCCACAGCATGGGACAAGTTGAGATCAGCAGGAAATGCCATGCCCTCGACTGTCAAAACTGACTTGCATCTGCACCCTTTCTCCCCACCCTCTGGCTCCTGGAGGTTCCGAATGCCCAGGACAATATGGGGACACTTTGACCCTTCTCTTTCCCTGAATGTCTCCTGCTAATTGCTACTTCCTCACCATTCCCAAGCTTTCACTCAGGCCAACCCCTTTGTCATCCCTCTCTTGGGCCCAGATCTTGGGTCAACCCTTACCTGCGGCTCAGGGCCCCTGTGGAGCCCAGCCCACTCCCCCTGTGGGCCCTTTGGGTACTCATTTCTTGTGAGACATAGCTGCACTAGAGCACAGGGTACTCTGGTGGTGTGGGGTGCTGTCCTGAGCTGACCCAGAAGGCTTGCCTTCTGCACCCTGACACCCTGAGGGCTCTCCCTTGGCCCTGCTGCTGCCCTCATTTCCCTTGGGTTCTGGGCTCAGGGTTCTAAGTGCTCACTGTCCCCTTTCTCCAGGCTGCAGGAGGCCTGGTCCCTAAGTTCATTATCTTAGCAAGGGGCTCTCCATCTCTGCGTCTCCCAGCAGGTAACCAGGTGTCCTAGCCTCTCCCCTCACCCTCATCCTCTCAGGCCCCCAAGCGTGTCCATTCCAGCCCACAAATTTCCCTTAGATTTTTCTCAGCCTCAACTGCTAGCCTAGTCTAGGGTCCCCTCCTTTCTTCCGTGGACTGTTCTCCCTGCCCACTGTGCCCCTCCTCTACTGGGAGCCCCGCAAAGGCAATCACATGCCCTCAGCATAAAGTCCAAACTATTTAGCATGGCCTGCACAGCCGTTCAAAATGAAACGAGGCCGTGTATGCTTAGTGTGGGCTTGGAGCACACAGGTGTTCCAGGCAGGGCAGCTGCTGTCGTTCCCTAGTATGGCCTTGACTTGATCTCCAGCACTGTCTGCAGACCCCACTCCCTTGCCCGTGAACAGTGCCATCCTGCTGCAGTTCCCAGAGTGCCCTGCTTTTGCTCACCTCTGTCTGCCCACACCCTACCCTTTGCCCATAGCGCTCACCACTCAGCCCTTGGCTGACTACAGCTTGTCCTCAGGATTCAGCAAAGCCCCACTTCCTCTAAGCAGCCTCCCCTCCACCCCCATGCCAAGGCTGGATTACGTGCCCCATGTGCCCCCGTGCTTGTTGCTGGAGCGCCACCTGTCATGCTCTGTTTTAATTAGCTATCCTTTGGTCTGTCTTTCCTTTTGGACTCTGAGCTTCAGGAGCTTTCCCCTCTGTAGCCACCAGAAGACCCTCAGCACGGCTCTAAAATGCAGCCTCTCTGGGCCTCCTTTCTCCCACATGCAATCTGCTGAATATATATACTTCCCACTCTTCTTTTCTGGTATAAATAGAATAATAAAACTTGGTCCTGTGTCAAGGATTTTAAGAAATTATTTTCTCCCCTTTTCCCAGTCTCCCCTGTCTTTGCTCTAGTTCTGCACCCTCCCTGTCCAGCCCCCATCAGCACACTCCAGGCACCTGCCCCCACGTCCATTCAGGCCCAGCCAGGGGGCTCCACATTTCTCGTGTGGTCTTATACCTCCTGCCATCACTCCTGGAACCTGCTGTTCCTTCGGCTCTGTCTGTCCGCTGCCCTCCACGAGGGGCTCTCACCCACCCACACCACCCACTTTAAGCACCTCTCCTGGGAAGCCTTCTCTCTCTGCCCTACCATCTATTGAGAGTGTGCAGTGTCTGCTGGGTACTGTGGGCGTGGTTGGCTCCCCTCAAGGTCAGGAGCTCCTCCTGGGCAGACACCAGGTCCTGTTAAGGACTCCCAAACCCAGCACACGCATGATGCTCAACTACTGTTTGCTGACTGACTTTTGCATTTTCTGGGGAACTTTCAGCACCACAGCCATGGACAGAGACCCTTCCCTTGAACAGCTTTCCATCACCGCCCAGTCAAGGAGACTTTCTAGATGATCTTTCCTCCCAGGCTTCCCCACCCAGGTTGAGCAAGTGTGAGGCGCACAGGGACAACTCCCTGCTCCTTTTCTTCCAACCCTGCCTGCTCCATCTCGCCTTCCCCAGAATCTCCTTTGTCCTCCCGAGGCAGGAGAACCTAATTACGAACCCAGATTCCAGCACTTGTCTGTGATGTTGGACAACCTACTTAGATGCTCTGTGCCTCAGTTTCCTCATCTGTAAAATGGATATACAATTATGGGATGGTACCTGGTAGTAGTAGGTGCCCAATAAACATTTCTTAAATGAATAAACAAAGGAATTAATTAATGCATACTACCTACCTCAGGGGTCTTGTCAAAATTAAATGATTTATACATGTAAATGCATGTAGAGCCATGCCGAGCACACAGAAAGCTCTCGGTGTTAGCTAACGCATTTCCTTCCAGTTCTGTCGAGGTCTGTACTCATGCGCGATGGCAGGGCCACTGGCTTCGATCTGGAAAAGCACAAAGATGCACATGCCTGCCACCAGCACCAGCAGACCCAGCAGTGGCCCAAAGATGGCCCCATGCAGGTGGAAGGGCGGGGTGCTGTGGTGGGTGCCTGTGCGGTGCGCCAGGTGACGGCCTACGTTCTTCCACATGACGAAGAGCATGGCACAGCAGATGAGGCAGTACTCGGTGCTGAAGGGGTAGAGCATCAGGTAGCCCTTCTGGAAGACCTCACACACTGTGGCATTGAGGCACAGGCAGGTGTTGGTGTCATTGCCTGGGAGGGGGCAGGGCAGGAAGGGATGGACATTTAGGTGGGCCTTGCTCTGGGGAAATCAGCTGCACAGATCAGTCACATTCCCCTCCAGGTTATGCCAGAGATGGAAGGGACCCAGGCACCCATTTTTCAGATATGGAAACTGCAGCCCAGAGAAATCAGAAATCACAGGACGTTTGTGCCTTACAAAGGGATTTGAGACCAAGCTTACATGAAGCACTTTACATGTGATGTCATTAGTGCCCAATGTCACCGCTACAGACTACTTGTTGGGCACAAGGGGAAATTTCTACCATTATAATGGGAGGATCTGGCTGCTACATTTGAACCCTCTGTAGCCCACTCCGTGGAGTAATGAGACGTCTTGCCTTGCGATGAGGTGCCCTGCAAAGTGGAATGCTGGTGCCAAATGTATTTAATTGGAACCTAATCAAGACTTTGGTCCATACTTTCAGTTTCTGGGAAAAGCACAGGAGAGGGAAGTAAGGCAAATGCCACCCCTAGGAAACAACTTGACAATCTCAATATCATTAGGAAAAGAGAGATTTAAGGGACTACAACCAAATGCATTGTATGTTTGAAAAAACCAACATAAAAGACATTCATGGGCTGACTGGAGAAAGTTGACTCTAGATCAGTGTAGAGGATGGGGATGATGCGAAGGGATTTTGTTAGAAATTATAATAGCATTGTGGAAATATACTTATTTTAAAGAGATGCATATTGAAATGTTTGAGATGAAATGCCATGATCTTTGTAATATAAGTAACTCAGCAAAAAGTTGAAATAAATGTGGCAGCAAGTTAATAACTACTGCATCTAGGTGGTAGGTAAATCCTGTTCTTACTCATCTGAATGTTTGAATTGTTTATTAATAGAAGAATCCATTATGTCATTTGCCAAGAATTCTCTTTGCACAGGTCTTCTGAAAAATGTATCCAGAGTATAAAGAACACCCACGTATAAGGCAGGCCATGGTTTATGCAATGGGTGTGTAAATGTATGAGTGTGCTGGGAAGGCTTGGCTGTACACAGGTCAGGATGGTGATGCCATCTGGGGTGGGGGGCTATACACATGCAGGTGTGACTGAATCTCAGACAGCAGTGCTCCCATATAGGTTTATGGGGTACAGCCTCCCAGGGGCAAACTGTATAGGTAGGGGATTGGGCACATGGAACAATCCAGGGAGTTCTTCCTGCCCAGACATCTTTGTGCCTCCTGATATGTTCGGGTACCTAAAATTGTGTTAGGAAGATGTTTCTTTCAGTCCTGGGGGCTTTTTTTTTAGTTTCTTGCAAGTAAAATGCAAATAGCAGGGGTGGGGTGCTTACCTGGACTTATCAGTGAAAAGCTCAGCTAGGATTATGGCTAGCTTGCTGACAACTAGATGGATGCCTGGAGCAGGGTGGCAGGTGCCAGCACCTGACGGGGCAGGCCCAGATGGGGGCAGGATGGATACCATTGGCAAACATCAGTTACTCTTTAGTCATGATCTGGCCTCTCGGGTTTGCTCCCAGTGCTGTAGATTGGCTGAGCCTCGCCTGTTTGAGGGGGTATAGCCTGTTTGCATATGCATGTGCGTGTGCGTGTGCGTGTGTGCATTGGGAGTGGGGGTCCTGGTCTCCTCAGTACCTGAGAGTTTTTCCATGAGGGCACTGAGCTCAGCCTCGATCTCGCGGTGCATGGAGTCATTGGTGACGGCCAGAACCCACAGCAGCAGGTCTGTGGCCAGCGTCAGCATCAGGCCACACCTGCAGGATGTGCCACACTCTGCCACACAGCCTGGGTGGCTCTCCAGGTGCCCCACCCTCACCATCACTGCCTTCAGGGCAACCACTCTCTCCCAAAGCCAGACCCATCTGGCATTAGGACTTTAGGAGAGGCAGCCCTACAGGTCACTTAGGATGCACTCCCAGACTAACCCACAGCCCCAAGGATACCCTGTCCTGGGAAGTTGTGAGGGGCAAGTGCTAGCGGGGACAGGAAGAACCCCAGGAGTTACTGGAGGGAGAGAACTCACCCCATCTTACCTAGTGAAGTTGGTCTGGACCTGAACACAGTCCTTAGAGTGTTTCCAGAGCACCCAGGTCTGAAAGAGATAGGGCCTTGAGCCTAGAGGCTGGGGATGGTGGTGGGGCGCTGTGGGGGTATGTCTGTTTACAATGGAAGAGACAGTGCGGAAGTCTGGGTTGGACTCCTGGCTCCACTGTTTCCTTACTGTGTGGTCTTGGGCCAGTGGCAACACGTCACTGAGTCTCAGTCTCCTTGGCTCTAAAATGGGGCTAAAATGCCTACCCCTTAGCAGAATGCTTATTTATTGGTGAAATAAAAAGGATGATGCAAATGAACACCTAGCACAGCAATTTGTACAGAACAGGAACTCTGGAGGGAGTTGGATATTATTGAGAGTGGCTCTGTATATCTGGGAGTGTGATTTAGGTATGTGCAAGTGGGTACAGGCAGATGTATTTATAGGTGTCTGCATTTCAGTGACAATGTGTGTGCTGGTGCAGGTACATGCAAGTGTGCGTGGATGTGTGTACAGAGAGGCAGGTCTTTGTGAGGGGGCTGTGGTATGTATGCCCGTACCCTGGGCCGGGTAGGGATTTGCTGTGGGGTTGTACCTATGCGTAGATATGGGTGTGTGCATATGATGTGGTAGGCAGAGTATGTTCCTGGTGGCATGGGGATGGAGAGTTCTGTTACCTGGATGCCGATGAAGATGATCTCAATGACAGGGAAGATGAGCTCCAGTTTTGACTTGCAGTGGATGTGGCTGACGTCATAGCCCACTCGGAAGATGTTGAGGCAGATGGTGCAGCTGCCGAAGAGCACCAGAGAGCCTGGCAGGCCAGGTGGCCATTGGCACCTCCCCTAGAGTGAGAGCTCCCTCCCCACTCCTCCATCCGCCCAGTGCCCCAACACTCACCCCGCACCCAAATGGGTCCCGCATGAGGGTCCTGGTGGAGCACCGGGTGTGGCCGGCGGGTGGTGCTGGCGGTGTAGTAGAGGAGCCAGAGGAGGGACAGGGCCTTCAGCACAGCCAGCAGGATCCACACGTCGCCCAGTGTGATGGCCACGTTGTTGAAAATCATGCTACAGATGAAGGCGCTGCCCAGGAACACTACATTGAGGGCCAGGAGTCCCGAGAAAAGCTGCCCTGCCTTCTGGGCCTGTCGGTCCCTCCGCAGCAGCAGTGCGAAATGTCGCACCAGCCAGGACTGCTGGTGAGGTAAGGTGGGGGCCCCTGTCTCCTCGGCCCCCAGATCCACTCGGTTCTCCATGGCCAGGGCTGCTCCAACCTCCTGGGCTTCTGGAGAGGCCATGGGTGGAATCTCAGAAGGGGCTGGGAAGGGAAAAAGGGTCCTGGTTGGGGGCCAGGCTGTGTTCAGTTCCATTCCTGCCCCTCACGGCTGTGTACTCTTAGGCCAAACTATGCAATCTCTCTGGTGGGAATATTGGAAATAATAGCAGCTGCCCCATCTACCTTACAGGACCTGAGTCAGTTCAAACAGACCAGGGGATATGAAAATGCTCTGTGTTCCAAATAGACACAGGAATTATTTCAACTGGCCTGAGGACACCCCCACCCCCACCCCAACTCAACACACCACTCAACCAAGGCCTGGCAAGGCCATCTCACTTCCCATCTCAGTGCCTGATCTTAAGAAGGAAAATCATGTCTGTCAAGGGAGCCAGCAACAGCTGCACAGTGCTTGGCCTTAGGGCATTTTCCAGGGCTGGGACTTTTTATCATCCAAAGGCAGCTTGAGCTCTGCTGACTTCTGGGAGGAATTTCACTCCTGAAGTCAGGGAAGCAAGTAGGTATCCTCTCTTGTTCTGACTCTGGTTACTTGGGTAATGATTGCCTAGAGTGTTGTGCTGAGAAGGATCCTGAGACTGAGTGTGGACTTGGTGGGAAAGAATGCTGTGACCTGAAAGGCTCTACTGTGGGTACTATGGGTGTATAAAGAATTACTTTTAAAAGGTATAGAAGATACCCACCAGGATGCAGAATAGAATTTTTTTCTGGGGAAGGGTGGAGGGTGGAAGGTGCTAGGATTGGGAGTGGGTTGATATTCTAGTTTTAAAAAACATGTTACTTTATGTATGTGATTTAAATTAATTTTAAAGAACGTTAAAGGTTTAGGGGTCAAGTTCTAGGATTGATTTGCAATGTCTGCCACAGCATGGGACAAGTTGAGATCAGCAGGAAATGCCATGCCCTCGACTGTCAAAACTGACTTGCATCTGCACCCTTTCTCCCCACCCTCTGGCTCCTGGAGGTTCCGAATGCCCAGGACAATATGGGGACACTTTGACCCTTCTCTTTCCCTGAATGTCTCCTGCTAATTGCTACTTCCTCACCATTCCCAAGCTTTCACTCAGGCCAACCCCTTTGTCATCCCTCTCTTGGGCCCAGATCTTGGGTCAACCCTTACCTGCGGCTCAGGGCCCCTGTGGAGCCCAGCCCACTCCCCCTGTGGGCCCTTTGGGTACTCATTTCTTGTGAGACATAGCTGCACTAGAGCACAGGGTACTCTGGTGGTGTGGGGTGCTGTCCTGAGCTGACCCAGAAGGCTTGCCTTCTGCACCCTGACACCCTGAGGGCTCTCCCTTGGCCCTGCTGCTGCCCTCATTTCCCTTGGGTTCTGGGCTCAGGGTTCTAAGTGCTCACTGTCCCCTTTCTCCAGGCTGCAGGAGGCCTGGTCCCTAAGTTCATTATCTTAGCAAGGGGCTCTCCATCTCTGCGTCTCCCAGCAGGTAACCAGGTGTCCTAGCCTCTCCCCTCACCCTCATCCTCTCAGGCCCCCAAGCGTGTCCATTCCAGCCCACAAATTTCCCTTAGATTTTTCTCAGCCTCAACTGCTAGCCTAGTCTAGGGTCCCCTCCTTTCTTCCGTGGACTGTTCTCCCTGCCCACTGTGCCCCTCCTCTACTGGGAGCCCCGCAAAGGCAATCACATGCCCTCAGCATAAAGTCCAAACTATTTAGCATGGCCTGCACAGCCGTTCAAAATGAAACGAGGCCGTGTATGCTTAGTGTGGGCTTGGAGCACACAGGTGTTCCAGGCAGGGCAGCTGCTGTCGTTCCCTAGTATGGCCTTGACTTGATCTCCAGCACTGTCTGCAGACCCCACTCCCTTGCCCGTGAACAGTGCCATCCTGCTGCAGTTCCCAGAGTGCCCTGCTTTTGCTCACCTCTGTCTGCCCACACCCTACCCTTTGCCCATAGCGCTCACCACTCAGCCCTTGGCTGACTACAGCTTGTCCTCAGGATTCAGCAAAGCCCCACTTCCTCTAAGCAGCCTCCCCTCCACCCCCATGCCAAGGCTGGATTACGTGCCCCATGTGCCCCCGTGCTTGTTGCTGGAGCGCCACCTGTCATGCTCTGTTTTAATTAGCTATCCTTTGGTCTGTCTTTCCTTTTGGACTCTGAGCTTCAGGAGCTTTCCCCTCTGTAGCCACCAGAAGACCCTCAGCACGGCTCTAAAATGCAGCCTCTCTGGGCCTCCTTTCTCCCACATGCAATCTGCTGAATATATATACTTCCCACTCTTCTTTTCTGGTATAAATAGAATAATAAAACTTGGTCCTGTGTCAAGGATTTTAAGAAATTATTTTCTCCCCTTTTCCCAGTCTCCCCTGTCTTTGCTCTAGTTCTGCACCCTCCCTGTCCAGCCCCCATCAGCACACTCCAGGCACCTGCCCCCACGTCCATTCAGGCCCAGCCAGGGGGCTCCACATTTCTCGTGTGGTCTTATACCTCCTGCCATCACTCCTGGAACCTGCTGTTCCTTCGGCTCTGTCTGTCCGCTGCCCTCCACGAGGGGCTCTCACCCACCCACACCACCCACTTTAAGCACCTCTCCTGGGAAGCCTTCTCTCTCTGCCCTACCATCTATTGAGAGTGTGCAGTGTCTGCTGGGTACTGTGGGCGTGGTTGGCTCCCCTCAAGGTCAGGAGCTCCTCCTGGGCAGACACCAGGTCCTGTTAAGGACTCCCAAACCCAGCACACGCATGATGCTCAACTACTGTTTGCTGACTGACTTTTGCATTTTCTGGGGAACTTTCAGCACCACAGCCATGGACAGAGACCCTTCCCTTGAACAGCTTTCCATCACCGCCCAGTCAAGGAGACTTTCTAGATGATCTTTCCTCCCAGGCTTCCCCACCCAGGTTGAGCAAGTGTGAGGCGCACAGGGACAACTCCCTGCTCCTTTTCTTCCAACCCTGCCTGCTCCATCTCGCCTTCCCCAGGATCTCCTTTGTCCTCCCGAGGCAGGAGAACCTAATTACGAACCCAGATTCCAGCACTTGTCTGTGATGTTGGACAACCTACTTAGATGCTCTGTGCCTCAGTTTCCTCATCTGTAAAATGGATATACAATTATGGGATGGTACCTGGTAGTAGTAGGTGCCCAATAAACATTTCTTAAATGAATAAACAAAGGAATTAATTAATGCATACTACCTACCTCAGGGGTCTTGTCAAAATTAAATGATTTATACATGTAAATGCATGTAGAGCCATGCCGAGCACACAGAAAGCTCTCGGTGTTAGCTAACGCATTTCCTTCCAGTTCTGTCGAGGTCTTGGAGAGGCTGGAAGGGTCCGGATTACTGGTGAATTTCAGGAGTGGTTTTTATTTGGGCTGCAGGACTAGAGGAGACCCTGGGGGACCCCGTTTGGAAACCTCTCGCCTCAGGGTCCCCACCCTGTCTTCCCGCATCCCCACTCGTGGGATCCATCCCTCCAGCGGCCACTAGAGGGCCAATCAGTCTGCCTCGTGGGAGGGTGCCGGGGTGGGCAAGCAGGGGGTCTCAGGAACTGGGCGAGGCGCCCGGAAATGACAAGGAGGAATCCACCGCCCTCTGGCACGCCCCTCGGCGCCACGCCAGCACCAGGGAGGGCCCTGACACCAAACTGGTTTGATGAAAACCGCGGAGCCGTCGGGGCGCGGTGCTTGGTCAGGAGCGCAAGGCCAGCTGCTGAGGAGGCTGCTTGAGCTTCGGGATTTCTCCCTGAGTCACCCCAGGGACCTCAGACCCGCGTCCAGGCAGCCCTAACCCCACACCCTGTTTCCCAGGGTTTCTCGCCCCTTCCTGACCTCGGCACCCCTTTTCGTCTGTTTGCCCCCTTTCGGCTGGGTCCGGCGCGCCCTGCTGACCTTTGTGTGCCTCCAGTCCGTGGAGCCTGGCCGGGATGGGGGACAGAGAAGAACCGGCACCCGGGTCGCCAGGGGTTGGCCTCCCCGAGTCATCCTGCCCTCCTGCCCCAATCTCTACAGCCCCATGTCCTTGAACCCCACTTTGGGGGCAGAGTAGGTGTGGCTGTCGAGGGTGGGCTCGCTCAGAATGTTCCGCCAGCATTCAGAGAGACTCCTGGCCATAACGGCGCCGCTGCGGAGCCTTACCTGAGGCCTGCGTGGGCATCGCCGCTGGTGGCCACCGACTGCGGGCGCAGGGCCGATCGTCCGTCCAGGTGAGACCCCTGAGCCCCGAAGGATGCCCCCGACGTCCCCCGCCCGGTGGGACTGCACAGCAGCCGCTCGGGCTCCGCGGCCCATCGATTTTTCTGTTGACTTTGGGGATCTCATTAATCCTTCCTTAATTACCCCACTGGGGGTTCCGGCCCCGGTCTTGCAGCCAATAGCTAGGCGGCTGGACCGGCAGGCGGAGCTGGAGGCGGGACAGGCCCGGGCAGCATGGTCTGGGGACCTGCGGGCAGGACCGCCTCCGGGGTGGAGTGCGTGCAATGTCCTTGGGCCACAGTACAGGCCTTGCGGGGTTCCGGCCACACTTTCCTCCGCCTGCCAAGCAAAGACTGGAACCTCCCCCCCGGGTCTGGCTCTCCTTTTCCTGTACCCCACCTGGTACGAGGGTGGGGCAAGGCCTCGCAGCAACCTGCCACCTCACATGGCCCAGCAGCCTCTTTCCAGTAAGTCGAACGTGAGCGTGGAGGCCCCATTGTTACAGGGCAGAAAGTGGGAGGGGTGGGAGGTCAGCCTGGCCTCCTGCACTCCTCCTGCAGCCTCTGAGAACCCTCACCCCTATTCTGCTGTCAGCGTCTAGGCACATTTTCCTCTGAAGTCCCCTGTCCTCCAGGTGCCAATGCTCCCACACGCTCCCACAAAATGCCATCTGCCCCCACTCTAGCCCCCACTCTAGCCTGGCCCCCCTTCACCTGACTGTGGTTGGCCACCGATTCTTTCTCCTCTTCTAGCTGCGGAGGCTTCTCTTTCAATCTCTCTGCTCTGTGGCAGTTCCTCAGTCTCTCTCCGGGGCAAGCCCATCTCTATACCTTCTGGAGGGTAGAAGCCCTAGGGATTTGGAGAGGAACCTCAGAGATCCCCAGCGAACAGGGGTGGTGAGTAAGAAGAGGTCCAGGGGGTGTCTGCATCCCCCAATTCCTCTTAAACTAAAACAGCCCTGTTTATATCTATGGTATACACTTGGCATCCTGAAATATTTTATTTGAGGGACAAGAAGTTTTGCTGTTTGAAAAGTATCACTCTTTGTAGAAAGGTTCTGACTCTCTTTAGCTGTGGAATCTTTATCAAGTCACTTTACCTTGCTGGGCCTCAGTTTCCTTTGTAAGATGGTGGTTGGTCTAGCTCAGTCCTTCTTAACCTTCTGTGTGTCATGGAACACGTACAAGAATGTATATGTCACTTGAGGATAAAGGGAAGAAGAGGGTGGCAGCCTGAGGGCTCTGTCCAGCGCCTCCTGGCCACCCAGGTACAAGTGTGTATGTAACTGGTCGGTAACTCAGATGTGGCTCACCCGCTGAAAAGCTTGACCCCCGAAAACCTCCAGGGACCCTTCCAGCTCTGGCCCATGAGATCCTCTACTGTGATCATCTCAGATGGGGCAACCAAGACAAGAAGTGGGAGTCTGGGGGAGAGCTGCAGGTTTATTGGTTTCCAGCGTCAGGCACAGCAATGGCCAGGCCACAGGGCTGGAATCAGGGGGAGAGTCGGAGCCGCCGACACCAGGTCTTCCCTGATCCCAGAAATGCTGCAGGGAGAGGTCTCTCTCCCCTAGTAGCCCCATGCCCCAGAGTCCTGACTGTGATTTAAAAACTCATTTGGAAAAATAATTTTTGTGAAAATTACACTCTGGGGCTAGGCAGCGAATGTGGGGTAACGTGGCACAATGCCTACCAGCCTGGGTTCATTCCAGAGGGTCTCTGGGTTGGTGAATGAGCCAACCCCCTCACCCCCATGCCTCTGTTGGGGGCTTCAGGACAGCACATAGACCTCCAGCAGGCTGGAGACAGCATGCATGCGGTAGAAGATACCAAAAGGCAGGCATATGTTGACAATGGCTGCCCAGAGGGAGTAGCCGTAGAAGTCCACCTCCACGGTGTTGCTGAAGTGAGGGCGTGCCCCAAAGGCGGGCATGATCCACAGCTGTGGGGAGAGAGGGGTGCATCAGGCCCTGGCCCAGACTGGCACCTGTGAGTCATTTCTGTGGGCTTTGGTGGGGGGTGATGGGCTGGAGCTCCCAGCACTCCATTAGGTGGACAGTGAGGGCTGGGTGTTGCTGAGTGGGGACCTCCAGCAACTTGGGCAGAGGCTGGCACTCCTAAGGAGTTCAGGAAATGTGTCCAACTGAACTAGCCCACCCCCAGGGTAGGGCTTCCCCTGTGATCACACTGTTAGTATGGCCCACTTGTGGGATGGGGAAGGGGAGAAGTGGTTTCAATAAATAAATGTCTTGAGAATTTGGTATGCATGTCAAAATCAGCTTCTCTCTCCTAGAGAGATGTGTGCAGGGTGGTGGTAGAATCAAACAGACCAGGGCAGGGGGGTCAGGGCCCAGCCGGAAGGCCACCCCACCCCAGCCCTCTATGAGCTTGTTCTCCTGGGAGGAGGTTGGAGCTGGAATCCCACTTCACCTTGGCTATGAGCTCAGAAGGTTCATGTGTGGGGTCTGAGGCAAAGAACGAAGCCTTTTAGGCTAGTGCACCCTCCCCACACCCAGTTAATTTCATCCTTAGGCACAATGCAGCCCCTCTTTGAGCCTTTTTCTGTCTTACATGATGAAGGAGTTGAAGATGACTCTCTGAGAGTTGATACAGGAATGGACACCAGGGGCACAAACAGCCTCCCTAAAGGTGACTCCAGCAGGCGGGCAGGGCCATGGCAGATGGTGGGGGTGGGGACAGGGCCTAGGCTGGCCCAAGATATGAGGAGGTTTTGAGCCTTATTGCTTCTACCAGTAGGTACACCTTCATGAAGAGTGTCTGCCCTGGGGTGTTTCCACACTGGGCATATACTTGGACTGCGTGAAGTCAGTAGCTGTAGAGGAGCTTCTCTTAGTAAGGGCTTTGCTGAATCACAGGAAGGTGGGGGGAACACTTGTGAATGGCCCCTCTTCCTGGCCAGCCGGCCTCTACACTTTGCTAACAGACTGCTCACACTTACACTTGTCTCCTCGACTTCCTGTTGCTGCTCCAGTTATTCTGAGAGGCAGGCTGGTCACGAGTTCCAGGAGCAGTCACACCTCCCACCTGGGGGTGAGGCCCCCCCACTCCACGTGGGCTCTCACAGCTCCCTCTCACCTTCACCCAGCCCCCATGTCAGCATTTCCTGGGACCCCTCCAGCTCTGTCTGCTGCCTAGATGCCAGAATGCTGGGATTTCATTCTCTCTGTGTGCCCTGAAATGCTGTTTGTCCGGAGCCTGCTCCTGACCCTCTCTGAACCTGCTCCTTTCCTAGGGAGCTGTAAGATTCTTGAGTGGGCTAGGGGCAAGACAGAGCAGATCAAGTGGATAAACCCGAAAGAGCATCCATGCTCAGCCTTCACCCCAGCCCACCCTGACCTCCCCCCATTACTCACAATGATGTTGCAGAGCAGGAGAAACAGAGAAATATCCTTCAGGCACCGGCGTCTCCAGTGGCCCCTGAGGGCCAAGATGATGGCCACTGCTTCCTGAGGGCCCTCTGCACTGGGGCCAACTAGCGTGGGCGTGGGGGGACAGCCAGGCAAGGTGTGCAGGGCATCCAGGTTGGCAAAGGTAAGGCCGTGGCAGGGCTCCTTCGGGGGGGTATCATGAGGCTCTGCCCCGGGTGGTCCCCGGTGGAGGCTCTCAATGATGAACACGTTCTGGAAGGTGTGCTGGGCAATCATGAGCAGAGCATGGGCGAGGTTGAGTCCCCCCAGCAAGTCCTTGGGTGTGCCCACCACCACGGCCACGATGGAGTAGTAGGAGATGGCGTACTGGCCCAGGGCGGCACCCATCAGTAGGGCGACATCCAGGGTTCGAGTGGGGTTCTTATGGTGGTCCATGGCCCGGCGGTCAAAACGGTAGATGACGGAGCCACTGAGGCTTGCCAAGGTCATGAGCCCCAGACAGATGATGGTGAAGCTGTAGTAGATGACCAGGCCCTGCTGGGTGCGGCCCCTGTCCCCACTCACTTGGACCTCATAGATGATGAAGACTGCCAGCCCCACCATAAAGAGCATCAGGCCCAGAACGGGGCCAACAAAAAAGGTCTCTCGGAAGAGGCTGACCCGGGTTGGGGTGTGGCTGTGGCCATGGGTGGAGGAAGCCAGCAGCCTGCCCACGTTCTTCCACATGACATAGAGCATGGTAGAAGCGAAGAGGCTGTACTCAATGTTGAAGGGGTACAGGTAGAAGTAACCCTGCTGGAAGATCTGGCAGATGGCCGTGTTGCAGGAGCAGTCTCCTCCGACCAGGCTGCCTGCTCGCTGTGCTGTGGGGAGAGGGGCACAGAGTTGGGCTGCCCCCACCTCCCTGGAGGCACCCCACCTGAAGAGCCTCCCCACTAGACTGTGACATTTGTAAGGGTGGGGTTGCTGTCTGTCATATTCAGCACGGGATCCCAAATGCCTACACAGGGCCTGGCATGGTTATTCATTCCACAAGTATTTACTGAGCACCTACTATGTGCCAGAGACTGTGGGGCACATCAGTAGTGAGCCAGGACTCTCTAAAAAAGAAAAATCTGAGCACAGAACTGACCCCTTCACCCTATTTCACTCCTTCAGGAAAACATTCTCAGTCCCTCCCAACCAGTAATGATCCCTGGCTCCCCGAGATAGGTGAGGTTCTGGTCCTGATAGAAGGTGACCCACCTGGGAGCCCCTAAAGTTCAAGCTTCCTCACCCCTCTCCCCAGCCTCTGACTCAGCCCAGACAGTGAGCTGCTGTGCCCAGGCCTTGACCATGACCTCCTGTTAGTCTGGTTGTGCCACACCTGTAGGAATCTTATCCTGTGTCCAGAGCGCACTTTGTCGGAGGCCTTGGCAAACATCTCTTTTGATCCCCAGAACAATCCCAGCTGGTTTTGCAGATGCAGAAACTAAGGTTCAAGGTGTCTCTCTGCACCCCTCACCCAGCACGTTAAGTTGGCCACCTCCCTGGGTTGCTCTTAACCATCCTCAGGAACCCTCTGTATGCCCTTTAACAGTCCTTCTGGGCTGAGGTCTCCTGGCCCAATTTCTGTTCCTGGTCTTCCCAGACTGAAGTGTGTGCATGTCTTCAGGTGAAGTCTACATGGACTTAGTCATCCTGTCTGCTCCTGGTTAGTGGGGGGCCAGTCAGAAGCCCAGAGAACTAGGATCAGGGGAACCATGGACCTCATTCTTCTCAGTGTAGCATATTGGTTCAAAGCAAAGATGGATCTCCACACTAATTCTCCAATTTCAAGCGCTGAGACCTTGGACAAACTACTTAACCTTTTGTGTCTTAGTTTCTGCATCTGTAAAATGGGAATTGTAATAGTACCCATCTCATAGGGACATTGTGAGGGTTAGGCAAGATAGTGCTTAAGATGCTCAGCACAGCAGCTGACGTACAGAGCTCAGCAAATACTGTCATCGTGGTCATTAGCTCTGCCTTCTCCTTGCCAGGCTCTCCCGTCTGGTCCTGTGCTCCCACCATCAAGCCACTCTGCCTCCCTTCCCCTCTGTCCAGTTTGGTTGCCCTTGTCCTGTCATCCTGCAGCCCAAGTCCCTTCTTTGGTGCAATGGGGACCTGGACGTGAAGGCTGCACCCCCAGGATGAGAAGATGCCTCCTGGGTCACCTACACCCACACCTCAGAGGTGGAGCCTGGAGGAGGAGGAGCCCCTCCTCTCGTAAGGCACAGGAGACTGACTGTACAGTGCACCAAGCACCCAGCCCAAGGCCTGGGAGGCCTGAGGCCAGCAGGGCTCATCAGAGGTGGGCACTCACGGTCAGGACCGAGGCGGGTGTGGCTGGCGTTGCTGTGGGAACTGCTGTAGGAGTGGGCCTGGTGCACGGACTCATCCACCACAGCTGCCATCCAGATGGCCAGGTTGGTGGTGAGTGTGAACATGAGACCACATCTGTTTGGAGAGAGAGGGCAAAGAGGCCAGTGAGAGTTTGTCTTATCTTGGGTGTACCTGGGGAGGTGCAGAGTTGACAAGCTATACTGGGAGGTGGGGTGGAGCAGCAAGAAGGCAGTCAGGCTCCTGTGTGAATAGGGAAGCTGAGTCTGGGATTTGGAAGGACTGCTTACTGGCCACCCGAGAGAGGGTCAGGGGATGTGCAGGGTCTCAGGCCACTGCTGTTTCCCCCCCTAGGAGAAAGGACATCCCACCAAGCACATGCACACACATGCTCACACAGAGCACAGGGTGGTGGAAGTCAGGCTGACAAAGCAAGGGGGCTTTGGCTGAAACCCCACTGTGGGGGCAGACCCATGCCCCAGGTGGGGAAGCCCCCATCTCTCATTCTAGGTGAGCACTGCCATGTTGGGCACAGACACTGAGCTGCGGAACAGGCACTCACCGGGTCAGATCCAGGTGGACGTGAACACAGTCTTTAGCAGAGACCCAGAGAAAGTAAGTCTGTTGAGAGAGGATGGTGGGGCTCATTTACTCCTCAGATGGACTCAACTCCGAGGTGCCCATCTCCAGCTTCATGTTCTTTCTACCTCAAGAGCCCTCATGCTAGGTTGTCACATTTGTTTTAGGTTTACAAAATGAGATGGGGAGCCTTTTCTCTTTCTGTGCTATGAAACAATTTGTATAAAGTAGGTTCTTTAAAAGTTTGCAAAAATGTCACCTGTAAACTCTCTGGTGTTGGTGTTTGCTTTTTTTTTTTTTTTGCAGCGTGGCAGTCAAACAGTTTTGACTGCTTAGTTATTCAATCCTAGGAGCAAGCCCAGCCTCAGGTTAGGTCTTGTCCAAGATAGAAAGACTCTGGTGACTTCTGACCTCCCTTTGGCAACATCCCCTGCTCATCCTTTGCTGTTCCACAAGCCCTCACGCACACCTGGAGGCCAACAAATCACTGCTGTGGCATTTGTTGATGTGGGGATACGTGTGTTTTCATCTGAGTATTCTTTAACCCCACAAAATGTAAGATTAAATTTATATAAATGCCAAGGTCATAAATGTGTTAAATTGCAAAAACCTAGGCAGCAGTGGTGATGTTTCAGGGGAGGGAACCATACATGTAGTTATTCTGGTCATGATACAGGGCTGGGGTCTGTTCTGGTCTCACCAGCCCTGTGTCAGCTCAGAAGATCTTTCAAAGTGTTCCTTATGCAACAAATAAAAAAATATGTATTTGAACTTGTTTGAAAAATCTCAGGTATAAGATATCCTATATACCGAACAAATATAGAACATAGGGGCCATAGCTGAAGTCAAACCAGCCAGGCCCGCAGCAGGACCCAGGGCTGATACTGATGCCCTCTGCAGACACCCAAGCAGGACAGGCCAGGTTCCAGGAGACAATGTCAGCTGCCACAACTCACACCTCCTATGTGTCAACTACTGACACTGCTTAGGTTGAAATGAAACTGCAGGGCCCCTAAGTAGGAGCTCACATTTGGATGTTACTTCATTACCAAGTGCCTCCAGATTTATGGACTCATATGACCCACAGTCCTATCCCCCCACCTTCTTTGACTGCTCAGGGTGCATGGAGTGGGGCCCAGCTGGCTCCTTTCCATCAAGGATATGCTTCACACCCACCTGGACAATGACAAACACAGCCTGGGCAAGAGGGTGCAGGATCTTGATGGCTGACTGGCACTCAAAGAAACTGGAGTAGTAGCCAGTCTTGAAGACATCCATGATGAGAGTGCAGACCCCAAACAGCACCAGCCCACCTGGAAAGGCGAGGGGCAGATCAGAGAGGCAGGAGAGAAGGCTTATAGATCTGAGAATGGATGGCTAGATGGCTGGGTGGTTAGGTGGTGGAGTGGATGGGGAAATAAACGGGGCAGGTGGGAGGCTGGAAGGACGTGTGGGTGGCTGGGTGGGTGGATGGATGGTTGGATGGATAGGTAGATGGGTGAATGGGTGAATAAGTGGATGGAAGGATGAGTATATGATTGAGTGGGTGGATGGATGGATGTTGTGTTGAGCCCCAGCTTTGGGGGCTGCAGAGATAAGAGAACGCTGTCGCTTTCTGCTCTTCATCAAAGGCTCTCCTGTGATCACCCTTTTTCAGTCTTTAGACAGGGCAAAGCAATTCGCCTCCATCCCTCTCTTCATCCCTCCTCCCAGACTTTCCCCTCCCCCTGCTCCTTCCACAGCAGCCCACCTCACCCTCAGGCACAGCCACTCCTCCTGGGGAACCTCTCGCCCCTCTACCTTGGCGTGCGCGCGCTCCAGAATTCCTCCGAGAGCCCCCGCGTCCGGCTCCGCGCCTGGCCCACCCCACCTCCGCCCGCTGCTCCCCTGGCACCTCGGAGCCAGATGGGGCCGGCGTGCGCATCCCGGTAGGGGACGGCGTCCGGGCAGCGCGCGGTGCCCAGGAGGTAGAAGAGGATCCAGAGCGCCGCGAGCAGCATCATGGTGGTGAGCAGCGCGAACACGTCGGTGTCATACACCGCCACCTTGTTGAAGGCGCCGCCGCTGATGAGCGTGCAGGCGAGGAGCAGCACGTTCACGGACAGGAGCACGGACAGCAGGCGGCCGCCCTTCTTCCACACCTCGCGGGGGGCCACCCGCGGCGCCGGCGGGCTCTCCTTGGGGCCCGGGGCCAGCTCCTCAGACATGGCCGGGGTGACGGGGAGGTTGGAGGGGTCACTGTGGGGCAGGAGCGGACAGGACCCCAAGTCAACCCCGAGAGCTCTCTTTCTCCAACTTGTCCCTTGATTTAGGGACCTGGGCGTTCCTAACTCGGAGGGTGGGAGCTGCGTGGTGGAGGAAGCACATGGGGAGGCGAGAGAATAGCCAACCCTGCGGGTGCTCGACGGGAGGAAAGGAGAAGCAGCGGGAGCCCCGTCGGACCCCGACCAGGTCTCCACTCCCCAAATCCGTCAGCCTCTGGTCCCGGGCACCCACCTGGCTGGGCCGGGAGCCCGCGCTGAGCTGGGGGTCAGGGGGTGGTGAGCGTCTCCTCTCTCCCGCGCCCGGCTGGACGGGTGCTTTATACCGGGGAGGGCAGGGTGATTTACAGCTGCGGGAGCTCAGCTCCATAAATCTCTCAGTCCCACTCACATGATCCATCTTTTCTCTGAGCTGAATTTAGGGAAGAGCGCGCAGGAGCCAGATAAGGTAAGATTTATATTTACCCTTTTAGAGGCGCCCCCTCCCTCGCTGCCCCGTCACCTCGGCGCGGCTAGGCTCCCAGCGGTCCCGCACTGCGGCACCCAGAGGGCACCCGCCTCCGGCACCCACCGCGCCCTGGCGCCCCAGGATCTCGGCTGCCCAGACCCCCGACCGCTGGAGCTCAATAGACGCCTTCCCAGCCCCGGTGCGCGCTATACCTTTGTGCCCCTCTGTTGCTGCCCCCAAGAGCAGGACCCTGGTGCCTCTTTCCCCTACACCCTCACAGGGAAGAAGTTAGTTCCTTCTTCCTCTCTCCCTCCTGCCCATCCTCTGCTCCGCTGCACGCTGCGAAGTCTGGCTTGGGGACGCAGTTCCCCAGCAGCCACCGGGTCTGCGCCCAGTCTTACAGCGCCCTCTGCTGGAGTGCGACTGGCCGCCCGGCGTGAGCAGGCGGCTGCCGGGAGCGCCGCGTCCTACCAACTCCCTGGCGTCGGTCCTCGTACGGACCTTAAGCGCACTGTCATAGGAGTCGGGACTGCTCTGAGACGCTCTCCCCAGCCCTTGGTCCATTACTTTGACGGATGGAGACATGGGGGACCCGCAGCGCTGATCGCGGCTGTAGTGAGGACAGATCCCGGCTGTCCCCAGACTGGGTCTCATGGGACGGTGCTCTCAAGTGGGCACTTTTGGAGTGGAAGCAGGGTCCCTGATGGGTCACCCCTGTGCACTTGTGCCAGCGCAGCATGTTTAGGACCCAGGAGCAGCCCGGGGGCGGCTCCCTGGACAGCGGGAGATCCTCCCAGCCACCCTCCCCACTCCACCCCCTACCGGGTGTGCGGCTCAGATGTCCGAGTAGCGGCGGCTCTGACCCTTCGCAGCCTCAGTCTGCGGCAGCAGGGGCTTGCTGCCCTGGCCCCTGCGCGGCCCCCTCCCCCAACCCCATGCCTCAGCCCTAACCCTGCAGCCCTCCCCCGCGGGGGGCCCCTTGCCTGTCGCGTCTAAGTCAGGAGCCATGAACGACCAGTACCACCGGGCTGCCCGGGACGGCTACCTGGAGCTCCTCAAGGAGGCCACCAGGAAGGAACTGAACGCCCCCGACGAGGATGGCATGACCCCTACCCTCTGGGCTGCCTACCACGGCAACCTGGAGTCACTTCGCCTCATCGTGAGCCGCGGGTGAGTGTCCCATCTGGCACGGGAAGGGCAAGAGAGCCTCAGGGCCATGCCAGGCCCTTGGGACCCACCCCTCTCCAGATTTTGTGGCATCTTCCCCCCGCCCTCTGAGCCGCCCCCTTCCCTACACACAGACCCTAAGGTGGGACTTTAGAGCCTGGCAGTCCTGGGGAGAGGACACAGATGAGGCATGTGACCCCTGTGACCTGGAAGTGGGGCTAGGAAGGAAGAGGTCCTCCCTGCCTGCTCCTGCCTGGGATCCAAGGGCTCTCCCGGCCAGGGCCCACACCTCCCGGCTGTGGCTCGCAGCTCTCTCCCCACTCATTTCTGGGAGTTATGGGCCCTGTCCACAGAGCCAAATGTCACTCGGTTCAGCCACCCCATTAACTCCTTCTGTGCTCCTCCCCCACTGCGGGCTTCCTCAGCCTCCCTTTGGGTTGTCTGGGGGAGGAGTGGGCATAGGTGTCAGGACAGGGAAGGGGTTTGGAAGTAGCAGTTGAGGTACACAAGATCCAAGGTGCTGACTTGGGCCCCCGTGGCTGAGGGACCCGGTGGACACGCTGTGGATAGCTCCTCCAGCCTCGGCTGGTTTATAAAGAGAAGTCCGTTGAACTGGACACCATGGCTGCCTGGACAGGGAAAAAGTGGGGAAGAGATGCACCAGGAAGATTAATATGAACATCTCAGGCCCTGGGAAGTCACGGTGGAGGGAAAGGGGCCCCAGCGGGCCCTGGAGCTGGCCTGTGACCTGAGCATGTGCTGGGTGGGGTACCCTCCTTTCCCTTCCTCAGGCCCGACCACAGGTGTGAGCAGCCCCCAAGACCAGACAGCTGAGCCACGTTCCAGGAGGCCAGGAATGGCCCCTCCCCATGCCAAGAGGCTCACAGCGATCCTGCTGTCCTGCCCCCACCTCAGGGAGATTCATAGGATGAGGGGATAAAGGGGGTGCACCAAAAGCCCAGCTCCTACTGAGGGCAAGGGTTGAGGTTTGCTTCAGTGTGGGCAGGTGCGCAGCAGCTTGCCCCTCTCATTGTCCTGTGGGACTTGGCAGCCACTGGGGGAAGTGAGGAGGGGTTGGCCGGGAGCTGTTGTGACAAGGGGGCCATTCTCCCTCCAGCCCTGTGAGGTGGCCTTGTGGCCTCATTAGTGTGGGGCGGAGGGGCTGAGCTAGGCCCCTGAGGGAGGGGAGAGCTTGGAGGAGCCAGTGGGAGCATGCCCAAGCCCAGCACAGCCCGGTATGGAAGGTGTTGGAGGGGACTGGGTGGGCCCCCTGGGCAGGCCCAAGCCAGCCTGACTCACAGAGCTCCTGTAGATGAGGCTGCCGCAGGAGGGAAGGGCACTGGGCCCAGGTCGCAGACTTCCCTCCCCTCCCCTCCGGTCCTGGCTGCCCCCACGCTCCCCTCCTGGCCCAGGCCAAGACCCGACACCTGCTCTCACACCCGTCCTTGCCAGGCCTGGCCCTGCTCCCTGCAGAAGTGGCTGTGCCCGCAGACACACAGGCGCACACCCCTCACCCACACTCACGCAGGGCTCAGGCCCGCACACACCTCCCTCTCATCCTCTTTTAAGGTCACTCTTCCAAGGCGGCCACACTCACTGCCATGCCTTCCGAGAGACCCAGACCCTGCCCTGGCCCACCGCCTCTCTGGGCCAGCTCCCTGCTGGGCCTCATGAATAATTCACTCCTTTCTCTCAGGGCATCAAATATTTATCCCCTGAGATTCCCAGCGCTCAGTTCTCTTGGGGAAGGCCCCGCCCTGGCCCTGCCTTCTTGTCCCCCCACCCACGGCGTGCCCGGGGCCATTTTTTCCCCTGGGCTCGTCCTAGGTTCTTCTGGTGGCCCCAGGTTGCGGAGCTCCTGGAGTCAGAGGAGAGATCTCAGGCCCTCCGTTCCCCTGGTGCGCTGTGGGGATGCTCAGCCAGCTGGGAGCTCCTTACACCCGCGGCCGCTGCCGGCTGCCTGCCCCAGCTTGCGACGGCTCATCATCCCTCCCGCATGTCCTCCCTGCAGGGGTGACCCGGACAAGTGTGACATCTGGGGCAACACGCCCCTGCACCTGGCAGCTTCCAATGGCCACCTGCACTGCCTTTCCTTCCTGGTGTCCTTCGGAGCCAACATCTGGTGCCTGGACAACGACTACCACACGCCGCTGGACATGGCCGCCATGAAGGGCCACATGGAGTGCGTGCGCTACCTGGACTCCATCGCGGCCAAACAGAGCAGCCTCAACCCCAAGCTGGTGGGCAAGCTGAAAGACAAGGCCTTCCGCGAGGCGGAGCGGCGCATCCGCGAGTGCGCCAAGATGCAGCGCAAGCACCATGAGCGCATGGAGCGGCGCTACCGGCGCGAGCTGGCAGAGCGGGCAGACACACTCAGCTTCTCCAGCCTCACGTCCAGCACCCTGAGCCACCGGATGCAGCATCTGGCGCTGGGCAGCCACCTGCCCTACTCGCAGGCCACGCTACGCGGCACCGCCAGGGGCAAGACCAAGATCCAGCGCAAGCTGGAGCGGCGCAAGCAGGGGGGCGAGGGCACCTTCAAGATCTCCGAGGACGGCCGCAAGAGTGTGCGCTCGCTGTCGGGTCTGCAGCTGGGCAGCGACGTGATGTTCGTGCGCCCGGGCACCTACGCCAACCCCAAGGAGTGGGGCCGCTCCCCGCTCCGGGACATGTTCCTCTCGGACGAGGACAGCGTCTCCCGTGCCACGCTGGCGGCCGAGCCTGCCCACTCGGAGGTCAGCACCGACTCAGGCCACGACTCCCTGTTTACCCGCCCCGGCTTGGGCACCATGGTGTTCCGCAGGAACTACTTGAGCAGCGGGCTGCATGGGCTAGACGGCGCGGGCACGCCGCGGGGCCGGCTGCAGAGCTCTCCCAGCCTGGACGACGACAGCCTGGGCAGTGCCAACAGCCTGCAGGACCGCAGCTGTGGGGAGGAGCTGCCCTGGGACGAGCTGGACTTGGGCCTGGATGAGGACCTGGAGCCCGAGACGAGCCCACTGGAGGCCTTCCTGGCCTCCCTGCACATGGAGGACTTCTTCTCCCTCCTGCGGCGGGAGAAGATCGACCTGGAGGCGCTAATGCTGTGCTCCGACCTCGACCTCCGTAGCATCAGCGTCCCCCTAGGGCCCCGCAAGAAGATCATGGGGGCCGTGCGGCGACGCAGGCAGGCGCTGGAGCGCCCGCCCACCATGGAGGACACCGAGCTGTGAGAGCTGTGAGTGCCGGAGCCTTGGGGGGTGGGGAAGCGGGGTTGGAAGGTTCTTGGAGGGGAGGGGCTCTGTCTTCTTGGGAGTGGGAGTGGGGATAATACAATATTTCATAAAACCTAATTACAAGAGGCCCTCTTATTTTGTTTACCTCCAGCTCAGAAAAAGAAGCTGCCAATTTAATGACATAAGGCTTTCTTATCACAGCTAATGGAAAATGTACCTTGATTTTGGAGATAGCAAAATGCTGAAAAATGGGTATCTTAATGCGGATGAGACAATAGTCCTAGGAGGAATGTTTTCAGCCCTCCCAACTACTGGGTACTGGTCAAGCCCTTGCACATGTCCCCTCATTTAATTCTCCCCAACTCCCGCATGCATAGGCTGTATCATCCCCGTTTTACAGGTGAGCAAGTGGAGGTTCAGCTGGCTAGAGCAGCTCACCCCAAGGCCCTCCTGCTACTTGGTGTGGAGCTGGACTTAATCCCCGGTATGGCTTTAGAGCCGGGGAACTAGATGACTCCTATGGGAGGGCAGAGTTATCATATTCAAAGGCCATCATGGGGGGCTCAAGGCTGCTGCCACAATGTGGTGCTGTTGGCCCTTCCCTGCCCTGGCTTCTCCCTCATGGCGTCCCACAAGCCCAGCAACTGCTGCCACCCTCTTTTGGTATCCATGGCTTTTATCCTGCATGGCTAGGCAGGGGTGGGTATAGGGAGGCAGTCTGGTTTAGAGTTTGGGGATGGCAAGACCACCTCTAGGCCAGTTCCCCATCCCTGACCAGGTGAGGATAAGTTGTCAAAATGTCTGGTTTTGGTTTAAATTGATGTCTTGAAGGTCCTGATCTGAGGTATGTTTCTATCTCTCTGTCCACAGATAATGGGAGCTCCTCTCCCCAGACCAAAATGAATTGCAAGTTGCCACAACCCACGGTGGGGCCACAAGGTCCTCACAGTCGCCAGCCCTGCAGTCCCCCAGCCCCTTCCCAGGAGCAAGGACCACGTGGGTCATCTCCCTTGAAAACCTGTCCACACTCCACAACAGAGGGTGTGGCCTGGAGGCACCCAGAAGGGGTCCTGGAGCCTCTGAGCCATCCCCACCTGAGTGGCCTTAAAAGACATGTGGATTCATGGGAGTTCAGCCCCAGAGGACAGGAAGGGGCCGCTGGCCCCAGGGATTATACTGTGTGCCCATTAAAGTTGGATGGGAGTGTATGTGGTGGGTGGGGGCTGGAGACTTGCTCACTTCCTAAATTTCTATAAAGGGAAGAGTTTGGACTGCCTCCCCTCCCCCGCACAGAGCCCAGAGAGGAGGTACCTGGCGAGACCCCTCAGCCAAATGCCCTTTCGTCCCCACCTCTGCCCCGGGCATGGCCAGCTCCCTTCTTCACCTGCTGGCCATGCCAGGGGGTCAGAGAGTGCCAGGCTGGGCTGGACTGGAGTCCAGGCCCTTTTCCTGTCTCACCTTGGGGTGGGACCCAGTGGAACCCACCCTGACTCTGCCCTCCCACCCTGTCCTCCTTCACCCTCCCTGTCCTCGTTTGTGCAGCCTGGTACCCCCAGGAACCCTAGAGGGCCAGGGCAGTAGATGCAAGGTGCTAGAGCAACAGACTGCAGTATTATGGCCCCCAGACCTAGTGGAGTACTCTGGGCTGGAGAAAGGCATCTGCCAATGGCCTCATTCTCCCAGGCCCAGAACAGGAGACTGGGTATGGCTGGGTGTCTAGCCTAGTGTGGGCAAGTCCTGTGATATAGACGCTGGGAGAGCCTGAAGATGTGGATAATCTGGACTGCTGATTGTCCCCAGGTCCCCAGGGCTTTGTTTGACGTGTGCATCTGTGTTGGGGTTTAGGTAGTGGATTGCCCTCAAAGTCTGGAAGCAGCTGGGCATCTGCTTGGTTCTTCACGGATAGTGGGTGAGAGCTCAGTGTGTGTCCCTGCGCTGATGGTGGTAGGACCAGGGGCAAGGCCAGCCCCAGAGCGTCCTTAGATGTGTGTCCTCAGAGCTTGCTACTCAGACTGAGGTCGTGGATATGGGAGAGTCACTCAGGAGGCCTCGCACACATGTGTGCACACCCACACCCACGCAGTTGTGCCCTTCATCCTCTGTCAGTGGTGGCCTCCCACCCCTGACCCTCAGTGTGGGAAGCAGCTCCTGCCGGAAGCACTGCCACAGTCCGCAGCTCCATCCTGGACCCCCTTCCTGGGACAGGGGAAAGAACCCCCAAAGAATGTTACAGGCCTCCCTCTGGTGTGCCTGTGGAGGTGGGGGGCATCCACACACACTCCCAGAGCCGGGGGTGTGATGCACATTGTCCCTGTTCCCACACCGAGAGCTTGGCTGTCCACCACTGCCACCCTGAGCCCACCCCAGTTGTTCTTTGTTCTCTGGGCCTGGGCCTGGGGCCACCCCCAAGTGCCGACTCCACTCAGAGCCCCGGGTGCTGCCTTTCCCTCCCGTTCCCTGTCCGTGCACTGCCTCAGCCTCCTCCAGTTCTCCTAGTGTGGGCCGGGCCAGGCTCTGTGATTCCCACTGCTGTACAAAGCACCCTCTGGGCAGGCTTATTACAACTTTTGTAGAGAACGTTCTGCATCAGCGTCATGCCTGTGTCCTATTCTTCAATCATTTGGGGGCTGGAGGGGGTAGGGTGAAGAGAGCAAGAGGGTGGGGGTGGGAGAGGGAGAGGGTCTTTTTGTACCTATGAATACTTGGTCCTCCTCCTTGGAGGGGTCCTGGGATGGATGGTTGGGTGCTCCCCAACCACCACCCATCCCATGCATCTCAAAGGGCCTTCTTTCATCTCTGTGCCCAGAATTTGGAGTTGATGGAGAGAGAGGGTTCAGAAGAACTGGGACCCGAGAGCCCCCAGCAGCTGAGCAAGGAGGATGGTCCAGGCTCCAGCCCAATCCCCAGGGCCTGCAGCCGCTGAGGGCAAGAAGATGCTTTCTTCCTTCCCACTGGGGCCTGCCCGGGCCTCTCCGGACATGGGCAGGAGCCATACCGCAGAGGCTGCCACCCATCACCCAGGCCCTGGGCCCGTGAGCCCTGATCTCCAGGCTCTAGCCCACTCTGGGAGGCTTCTTGTGGGTCTCCATTTCTCTTGCCACCCCTAGCAGCTCTTGGGGCAGCCCTATTCAGAAGCTTCCTGTCTTCAAGGGTAAGGTTTCCCCTTAAGCTGCAGGACAGTGGGTTCTGTTTGCTCAGTCAAGACTCAGTCATTTCGTCCCATTTCCTAAGGATATTGGGCCAAATGTTTCTGCCAAGGGGAGTTCAATGCAGGTCCCTCCCTCCAGCATCAATCAGAAAGGTCCGCAGGATGTCTGTGCATAAGGTTGCCTAGTAACATCTAAGGGTTCTAGGCCACCTCTCTCCACTTTACAGATGGAAAACTGAGGCCGACCAAGGGGGCATTCACACCCAGAACACAGGCCCCCTGACTGCTGTCACACTTTCCTCACCCCACGCTGCCACAGGGGCCAATGAGATGCGAGATTCTGCCCTTGGGTGCTCCACGGGGCTTGTCTGCCCTGTGACCCTACTGGCCATCCTGGTCACTGCACCTACCTCAGAAGAACAGCCAGTCCTGGCGTTGCAGGTCCAGGGAAGGACATGGAGGTGAGGACTCTCAATGACAAGACAGAGTGGATCAGAGCTGCCGCGCAGAGGCAGAGACTAATTGGAAGCAGTGGGGCTTGGGGTCTCCATGGGTCAGTATGGCTGGAGGCTGGAAGCCTGGGGGCCAGGAGCAGGTGCGGCTGCAGGAAGCCTGAGGGAGTTTTAAAACCAGCACAGGGAAGAATTTTACAAGGTAAGGACTCAACTTTCTTGGCTCATCCCCCTAAGGATTTATATCCAGGTTAGGACATTTCTAAAAGTTTAGAATAATCAATGATTCTTACCTCTTTGGGATTAGAATCTGGTAATAGGGACACTTTCCCTGAAAAAATGCACTTTGGGCACACACACACTCAAATGCAGTGTTGCCCATATTTCCAGGCAGCTCATGGAGCCCCGAGAGGTCCAGGGACTCCAGGTTAAGAAGCCTTAGTTAGACTGCTAAGAAGTTACATCATACATGGGATCACCTATTTGATGGAGATGGGGATGGCGGAATGAATCAGAGTCAGGAAGGGCCTTCGGGTATGTGGCGCAACCTCATTTTACAGATGAGATAACTGAGGCCCAGAGAGTGAGGGGCCGGCTAAAGATCACAGGGCAGCCAAGTACACAAAGCTGCTCTAGGTCTCCTCATGCCTTCCATGGTGCCAGCTGCCTCTTATCTCCACGTTAGACCAGTCCTAGACAGCATGACACCCCTGTCCTCCCAATGCATCCCTGTGCCACCTTCTCTGAGATAAGCCTGTGTTGTCCAGGAAGTGGCAGGACTCAGGAGACATCCAGATCCAGGCAGCAGAACTGGTCCCACCCCTTCCCAAGCTGTGTGGCCTTGGGTAAGTTACCTAGCTTCTCTGAGTCTGTTATCTCATCTGTAAAAATAGGTATTAAACTAATTATAATAACAGTGTTAACTCCAAAGGTCATCAGGAGGGTAAAATGATAATACAGTGAAGCAGTCAGCACACTGTCAGGTAGTCAGTACACATCAGTTAATAAGGATCACTGTTAATGGTGACCTGAGATAGGCCAGTGGGGCACTCATTGCATCTGTGGCCCCGGCCACCAGTCAGTGAGTCCTAAGCATTCCCAGGGAGCAGTCCTGCTTTTCTGACCTCAGCATCCGTACCTGAACAGCAGGGGTTATTGACAATCCAGGAAATAGCTAAGGTATGGGCAGCTAGCCAAGGGTAGGCCACCATCCAGTGGAAGGACCCTTGGAGACCAGAGCTATTCCTGGGGTGCCCAAGAAGCTGGGCATCTTTTCTGCATGGGGAGTCACAGACCCACCAGCCTGGGGTCCCCATTATGTTACTATCTGAACTTTAGAGTTCGTCAAAAGCTTTCCCTTACTGCTGTGAGGTAGACAGGTGAGGGATTTTAGACGACAAGGAGATTGAGTATCATAGAGGTTTTGTGACATTCGCAAGGTCCCAGTAAGTTAAGAAAGCTTAAGCTCCCTGACCTGGCTCCCTGTGGCCACCCTCATCCCCAGGAAAAGCTACCGATTTTTGAGAGCTTATAAGGTGTTGGGTGTTCATGTTAAGCACTTTATATACATTTAACCCTTGCAGTAAAACTTCAACCCTATAAAACAAGGACTATATTATTATTATTATCCCATTTTACAGGTGGGAAAACAGAGGGTCAGAGCAGTGATATGACTTGCCCAAGGTCACAGAGCTATTAGGTGGACACACCAGGCCTCAAAGACAAATTTCCATGATATCAAAACCTTCACGCCTAACCACAGCGCTGTATTGGCCTCAAACACTTGTACCCTTTAGTGGGGTTGTCTTTGATTTTGGGCCACCTTGACCTGGCCATGCATGGTTCCGGGCCGATACCAGACTCAGCCTGATGTGGGGTAGGGGCATGCTGGCAGCTCCAGTGGCTTAAGTAATGGCTGAGCTGCGCTGGAAGCTAACCTCTGAGGACCTGAGTTCAAATCTAGGTCTGTCGCAGCATAGCAGTGACCTTAGCCTAATCACATAACTTCTCTGAGTTTCTTCCTCTGCAAAATGGATGTGAAGTTGCCTTCCTGATGCCTGGCACATAGTAGGTGTGCAGCACAGGCCTCCAAGCAGGCCTCACCTCCCATCAACAGTACTAGTAACACTTATGTACTTCAGGTGTGTTAGTCTCCAGCACTATTTATTGTCATTCTGTTTTTCAAACGAGGAAACTGAGGCACAGAGATGTTTGTGAAATGTGCCCAAGCTCACACTGCTGGGAGGTGGTGGAGCTAGAGCTCAAACTCTGACAGGCTGGTTCCCAGCTGTCCACGTCTCATCATGAAGGTGAGCGTTTATTGAGCACCTGCTGTATGTCAGTACTTTACTTCTGTGATTTAGTGAATTCTCATGACAGCCTCATGTAATAATGACAGGGGATTATTAAACCACTTGACAGAAGAGAAAACCTAGACTTGAGGACATGAGGTCGTTGCTCAGGTCACACAGCTGGTAAGAGCACAAACAGGGCCGGACGCCTCATCTGACTGACTCTCCACAGCCTCACCTCTTACCTCCTCACTGTCTGATCCTCCACGGCTGCGCCTCTGGATCGGCTGCCTCTTATTGGCTGCCCCATTTCTTTGGACAGGGCTGAGGGCAATGCGCTCTCCCCTATTGCTGAATGACTAAGCCCGATGGGGTTTGGAGCCTGAGGTGGGGAAACTCAGCAAATCCATTCAGAGCCCCCTGATCTTTAGAGAATGCCTTTGGGGCATGCTAGTGTGATGAGCCCTGGAAAACCTTTTGACTCTATAGGTCCCATGGGGCCCTATTTCCACCCCCACTCACTCTCCGTCACTCCATGGGACCTGGGTGGGTCTGGATGGGCAATTTCCTGGGGCTGTGGGACCCTGTCCCTGCTCTGCATGTGCACACACCTGGGACTTTGCTCCTCAGGATCCTGGACAGTGGCTGGCGGGTGCCCTGCTGGGTGGGGGAGGGAACAGCAGTAGCTGCCAGCTGAGTTGGGGCCCTGACCCCCACCATCACTGCCCCATGGGGGTTCTCTCTGTCTCACATAATCAAATCACCCCTCATGACATTCTCTTCAGACACTAGCATCCGAGGTGGGCAAGGGCAGGAAGGCATTATTCACTAGCCCCATTTCATAGATGCAGCAACTGAGAGTCAAGGCAGCAGAGGACCTGCTGGGAAGTACATAAGTCAGGATGCCTGACCCGGTCCAAATTCAGTGCCGCTCTGCCAGCTGCTTTCTCAGAACGTGTATCTAGCACCTTCTACATACGAGGCAAAGCAAACCCGTGAGAACAGTGTCGCTGCCGTGCCTCACAGGTCAAGAAAGGAGGGCTCGGGCAGCTGGAGTCAGTGCTCCAAGCCTCTGGGTGCAGAAGTGTCAGGGCTTTGGGGCTCCAGCCCCTGACTGGCTGTGTCCAAGGCACCCCCGCCTCCCTCCATCCCGTTCACCGAGCCACCTCCCCAGCTTTTCACCTGGCCCAGGGGCTCCCCAGGTCAGACCCAGCACTCAGCTGGCCTGGGCGGTTGCAACAGGGGACAGGAGGGGCTGGTTGCCTCTCCATCTTTCTCCATTCATGTTTGCATCCCTCCGGCACACACGTGGGCCTGTGTGTGTGTGTGTGATGCGGGGGCGTTGGCGGAGTGAGGACCCTGATGTGGAGCTGTGCGAGCCTGGGGTGGGGGTAGCGGACCCAGCGCTCTCCTGGCAGGTTATGTTTAGTCGTGAGCTAAGGGTGCTTCAGGGCTTCCAAGTTTCCCCAAAGAGGGGTGTGTGCACGTGTGTATGCACATGTGAGTGTGAGTGCGTGTGTGCGCATACACACTCACAGGAGGCTCCATGACTTTCTCTAGAGTCTATTTTTAGACACCTTCTCCCACCTATTATCTAGTTTTAGGGTTTCTGAGCCTTCAGACTGGAAGGTTGAGCTTCTGGCCACACCACCTCCCTCGCCCCATCCCTCACCCTGAACCAGTTTC